AAGGAGAGAGAGGGTATGAAGAGGACCAGCTCTCAGGAGCTGCATGAAGAGAGAAGGTCCGTTCCCTCTGGAGCTCCGGGTGCCCCCTCTCTGTGCAGGGAGGGCTATGAGGCTCACTTCCTCTCTGGTCACATAGATTCCATTAGTTCTGTGTGGAAGGAGCTGGAGCATGCTCTGTTTAACCTGGACTTACAGGTGAAGCAGCAGCAAATGTGGGTGAACTGTGAGAAGTAAAGAAGTAAGTTTAAGGTTCCGGGGCCAGGGATTTAGCTCAGTGGTTCCGGCGCCTGCCTTGCAAGCATAAGGTTCTGATAAGGTTCTGAGTTCGATCCCCGGTACCAAAAAAAAAAAAAAGAAGTAAGTTTAGAAAGAAGGATCAGGGCTGGGGATTTAGCTCAGTGGTTCCGCTGCCAGCCTTGCAAGCGCAAGGACCCGAGTTCATTCCCTGGTAACGAAAAAAAAGGAGGCTGAATATGTTAACAGTGATTATCTCTGGGTACCAGAGTTTAGGGCTTAGGGCCATGTGTACTTACGTACTCTTGTATTGGTTGAAGTGTTTATAATTAATACACGGTGTTCATATGATAGTTTAAAAGTTCTTTGTATAAAAGAAAAGCTGTGCACCAGGGATTTAGCTGAGCGGCAGCGCGTCTGCCTTGCAAGCTCAAGGTCCTGAATTCGATCCCTGGTATCCCCCTTCCCCCAAAAAGGAAAGCTCTGTGTGTGGGGGGGGGATGCTGGGCATTTTAGCCAGGCCATCTCTCATGCTGGGCAAACGTTCTACCACTGAGCTACATCTTCGGCCCCACTATTTGTTTTTTCATATTTAAAACAATTCAAGCTTTCAGAAACGTTGCGAAATTGTTTAAAGAACTCCAATTTATTATTATTATTATTATTATTATTATTTTATTTTTCAGTGTCAGAGTCTGAACTTAGGACCTTGTGCTTGCAAGGCAGGCACGGTGCCACTGAGCTAAATCCCCAGCCCCATCCAATTTATTCTTTACACATATTCATTTATTGACATTCTGCCATATTTGTGCATATCTCCACATTTGTGGATATCTCCACTATGTATATACAGTGTGTGTGTGTGTGTGTGTGTGTGTGTGTGTGTGGTAGAGGTGATTGAACGCCATGCCTTTGGACTGAGCTACATCCCCAGCTCTTTTTATTTCTTTTTCTTTTTTGAGACAGGGTCTTGCAAAGTTGCCCAGGCTGGGCTTGAACTTGTGATCCTCCTCCTCCTCCTAACTGCCTCAGCCTCCCAGAGTACTGGAATTACAAGCATGTGTCAACCATACCAAGCCACATATATGTTTTTAAAAATTAATTTTGCATCCCAATTGAAACCCCAACAGCATATTTCCAGAACTAGAGAAAACAACCCAAAAGTTCATCTGAAACCAGAAGAGACCTAGAATACCAAAAGCAATTCTAGCCAGCAGGGCCATGTCATCACAATTCCCAACTTGAAACTGTACTACAAAGCCACTGTGATAAAAACAGCATGGTACTGGCAAAGAAACAGACCTGAGGATCAGTGGACTAGATTAGAGGATGCAGAAACAACTGCAGACACACTCAGCCACCTCATCTTTGACAAAGGAGCCAACCATCCTCATTGGAGGAAAGATAGCCTCTTTAATAAATGGTGTTGGAAAAACTGGATTTCAACCTGCCAAAGATTAAACCCCTATCTCTCACCATGCACTAAACTAAAATCGAAGTGGATTAAAGATCTAAATATTAAAACAGAAACACTAAACTCGCTGGAAGATAAGTTAGGTAGAACTCTCGAAGACACTGGGATAGGAAAGGACTTTATGAACAAATCCTCAATAGCACGGGAACTAGCACAATGGATCAACAACTGGGATCTCATCTAAAAAGCTTCTGCACTGCAAGAGAAATCAACAACAGAACTAAGAGACAACCTACAATGTGGGAAAAATTTTTTACCAGCTGTTCCTCAGACAAAGGTCTACTATCTAGACTATATAAAGAACTAAAAAACATCAGACCCCCCAAATATAAAGACCCAATTCAAAAATGAGCATCTGAAATGAACAGACATTTCTCAGGCAAAGAAGTAAAAGGAGCAAATAAATATGAAAAAATGTTCAACATCACTGGTCATTCAAGAGATGCAGATGAAAACAATGCTGAGGTTCCACCTCACACCAGAAAGAATGGCTGCTGTAATGAAATCAACCAATAACAAATGCTGGCAGGGTTGTGGGGAGAAACGAACCCTTCTTCAATGTTGGTGGGAGTACAGACTGGTGCAACCACTATGGAAATCAATATGGATATACCTCAAACAACTAGGATTGGAATTCCCATTTGACCCAGCTATTCCTCTACTGGGTACCTTCCCAAAAGAATTAAAAGAATCATGGGAGCCAACGGACTGTGATCTAAAACCTCTATGAACCATGAGTCAAAATAAACCTTTCCTCCTTAAAAAAAAAAAATCATACCACAGTGATATATGTGCACCCATGTTTATAGCAGCACAGTTTGTAATAGTTAAAACTTGGAAGTGGCCCAATTGCCCAACAACTGGAGACTGGATAAAGAAGATGTGGTTGTTGTTTTTTTTTAATATATAAAATGGAGTACTACTCAGCCATAAAGAATGAGAAACTGGAGACATTTATAGCTAAGTGGATGGACATTGAGGCTATACTCTTTCTCCTTTTTTTGGCACTGGGGATGGAACTCAGGTCCTTGAGCTTGCGAGGCAGGTGGCGGAACCTCTGAGCTAAATCCCCGGGCTCATTGAGGCTATACTCTTAAGTGAAATAAATAGGACACACATGTGTAAATACTGAATAGTTTCTCTGGTGTGAAAAACTAAGTGTAAATAAGAATAAAAATGTATAATTGATATTGTGGAAATAGGAAGAAAATGTCTAAAGGAGAAGGGGAAGTAGGAGGGTTAGGGGAAAGGAAAGAAAGGAAAATAAAACATATGAGAAAAGGAAAAACATGGAAACAAAGTCTTTGTAAATAGGGAATGGTGGAGGAGGTGAAAGGAGGGCAGGGGAATGGGGAAAAAAATAAGAACCAAGATACATCATGTAAAGGTACAAGATCCCAGTGACAAATGTAACTGTATTGTATACCTAAAATGTACCAATCAACTAAATGGAAAAAAAAATTAATTTTGCAGGGCTGGGGATTTAGCTCAGTGGTGCTGCCACCTGCCTCGAAAGTGCAAGGTTCTGAGTTTGATCTTCAGTACCCGCTCCTCCAAAAATTAATTTTGCCAGGCATGATGGTGCACACCTATAATTCCAGTGCATGGGAGGCTGAGGCAGGAAGATCACCATGAATTAAAGGCCAACCTAGGTTACATAGTGAGTTCAAGGGCAGCCTGAACTATATATCAAGACCCTGTCTCAAAAAAATTTTTTTATTGATATATATATACATATTAAAAAAGCCAGTAAATTACAGATATCATATCCTTTGCCTCTAATTATTTCAGCTTTTTTTACTAAAGACAAGGGCGGTCTCTTATTCTGAGGATATAGAGGAAAAAGCAAAATGTTTTTTCTTATTCTCTCATTAAACAATCAACACAGAATACTTCTGTGACCCCAGATATGTGTGGTTTTTCTCTCACGCATCATTTTTTTTCTAGTACTGGGGATTGAACCCAGGGTCTTCACTCTGAGATATACCACAGCCCTTTTTTTTTTTTTTATTATCGGACAAGGTCTTGCTAATTCACTAAGTTCCCCAGGCCCCGTTCTAAAATGAGATCCTTCTGCCTCAGGCTCCTAAAGTGATGGGACTACAGGCATGCACCATGCCTGGCTGAAAGACCAAATATTTCTTACAGTATCACACTTACATAACCACAAACACAATCAAAATAAATGAATTTGGTGTGTTTTTTTGTTTATTTTATTTTTTTTTTGGTACCGGGGATCGAACTCCGGTCCTTAGCTTGCGAGGCAGGTGGTGGAACCACTGAGCTAAATCTCCGGCCCAAAATAAATGAATTTAATATTGATACAATCTATCATCTAACATGTAGTCACATTTTGGTAACTGTTTCAAGATTGTGCTTTGTAACACCCCCACACCCATCGAGGATCCAATTCAAGGCTATGTATTGCACTTAGTTGTCATGTGCTTTTCATCTTCTTTATTTTGTGGAGCAGGGAATCGAATCCAGAGCCTTGCTAGGCAAGCTCTCCATCACTGAGCTACTCCCCAGCTCACATTTCATCTCCTGTAATCAGCAACAGTTCTTCAGCTTTTGTTATTACACAGACATTGCTAGAAGGGTACAGACTAGCTATTCAAGAGCAGGTCCCTCAGCTTGGCTTTTGCCGGTTTCCTCATAACTGATTTTATGCATCGCTGAGTGGACCGAGACCCTGTTTTCTTCTCAATGAAGGATGTCACTCTGTCCTGTTATTAATGTTAACGCGGACCACCTGGTTAAGGTGATCTCTTCAGGGTTTCCCTAACTAGAGTTACTATTTCTCGTTTTTTATTATCAAATGATTTATGACTATTTATGTAGGAGCCTTCATATATCCTTTCAATTTCACGAGACAAAAAAAAAAGGGAGAAGGGGGTACTTTCAGGAAATGGATCCCTGTTTTGTGCAGAAGACATCCATCAGCGAACCTCTGGCAGCAAACTTTGTCAATAAAGTTTTGGGAACAGGAATGTAAACCTTTCCGGAAGGGTGTGACCGGCCAGGCGCACTACCTATCGGGAGTCGTAGTTTCCTGGTGCGCCGGCTAAATCCTACCCGCTCCCCCCCACCCCCCCAGCGGTCTCCGCTAGAAAGAGCCCGAAGACTAGCGAGCCCAAAGACTAGTGAGCAGGCGGAGAGGAGGGCGGAGAGCTCTGGGCGCGATGCATCATGGGACTGGGAGTTCACGGCGTGCTCCTCGCCGTGCCCTGCCACGCCTGCGCGGGAGAACTGGACTTCTTTACCCGATGAGCCTCGCGCGCCGGTCCGAGGAAAGCCGGCTTGAGCTCGAACAAATCAAATTGAAGGAAAGAAACTGCCGGCTTTCAAAATCCTCCTCCGCCGCCATCATCCGCTGCCTTACCGAGAGCAGGTGGTGTAGGAGACGGTAGTGACGAGGGACCCCGGGAGCGCGGACAGACAGGCGGGCTAGGCACCGGGACCGCTGACTCCTGGGCAGCGACACGGGCGGACCTGACCTGATTAGGTTGGCGTCCGTCCCGCCCTGCCGACGCCCGCGCACGGGTCGCCCCACGCGGCGGCGCCCCCTATTCACGGTAGGGCCGGGGTCCCTGTCCTCTTCCTGTCACCTGCTGGGGGCGGAGCGGCTGGGACAGACGATGGAGAGTGTGATGCAGCTGGACCCCACCGCGCGCCCCTCGGCCTCTCCCGCGCGCCTTCGACGGCGGAGCGCGGGGTGGGCACGGGGGAGCGAGGTGCTGGGCGTCTCCGGTCCTTTTACAAGTGGGGAAACTGAGGCCTAAAGAGAGTTTGACGCGCCCACGCTGCCCTTCCAGCAGCTGCCCGCAGTGGCGTCTTAGGATAGGCTTCGGTGTCACCTGGAGGCGGTGCGAGTCCTCAGGGAACCCGGGCGAGGCCCGCCGCCCCTGTCCTGCGCTGCCTCCGCTCCCGCTTGGCGCCACCACCGCCGCCTCCCCCGTCGGCCCACGCCTCCTGGGACCTGGCGGGCGCCACTGTTGTCCCTGGGATCTGCCTGAGTCAGTATTGACGCTTTGCCAGATCGATGGATGTGTACCGAAGGACGTCTCCCACGCTGCCGCCCAGAGGGCGAGGACTGTCCTGTATTAACCATTTGCTTTTGCTTTGTCACTGGCTCCTTGCTGACCTTGGACAAATCATCTCTGTTTTGGCTTCTTAGACTTTAAAGTGATTGGCAAGGGTGTTTGCATGCGTGTATGTGTGGAGGGGGGGCGTTTGTGTCTCATGGGACTGAGAAATTTTGTATTCCTATTCCATCTGGACTCCCATCACCATTTTTTTTAGCCTCCAGTTGTCCCATCTCAGAAGTGCAAGAGGTGACTTGGTTCCAGATTAATTTTTATTCACTTTTACCCTGGATTCTTTGAGCACCTTCTATAAATGCCAGGCCCTGTGCAGCAGGTAGTGATCCTCTGGAGACATAGGTGAGAGCATGTGTCTCCTTTGCTAGAAGCCCTCCAGCGGCTCTCTTTGGCCCTCAAGAGTGAAAAATAGGGTTTTAAAAATGGTCTTTGTGACTAGAGCCTCTTTTTAATTCTCTTTTCTTGTCTCCTACCTCCATTCTCCTTCCCTCTCTAGGCTCCCATAGGCTTCTTCGCTCTTCCTCCATTCTACTTTCCCCCAAGCCTGTGCATATGCTGTTCCCTTGATAGGATGCTCTTTCCCCAGGTGCATGGCCCAGTACTTGATAACATTTCGGTTTTATTTAATTCTTTCCTGATAGTACCTTTTCTAATTATTCTACTTTAAATTGCCACACAACCCCCTCCCCCCCAAAAAACCCCTCCTTAGTTAGGCTCTTTGTTTTTGTATCACTCTTAACATAATAAATATTTTATTTTTTTGTTTTTTTTGTGGTATAGTACTGAGGATCAAATTCAGGGCCATCACACTGAGCAACATCCCCAGCCCTTTTTTGAAACTGGGTCTTGCTGGGCCAGGTATTTAGCTCAGTGGCACAGCACCTGCCTGTGCACAAGCACAAGGTCCTGAGGTTGATCCCTGGTACCAAAAAAAAAGAAATCTTGGATTCCTTAAAAAACAAAACAAGGTCTTGCTAAGTTGCCTAAACTGAGCTAGAACTTGGAGTCCTGACTCAGTTTCCTGAGATTATAGGCATGCAACACTATAACCCAGACATAACATACTAAATATTTTGTTTAGAGCATATACTTCAAGAAGACAGGACTTTTTGTTGTTGTTGTTGTTGTTTGGTACCAGGGATCGAACTCGGGTCCTTGTGCTTGCACAGCAGGTGGCGAAACCACTGAGCTAAATCCCTGGCCCTGTTGTTTTTGTTTTTGAGACAGGGTTTCATTGTGTAGTTCAGGCTGGCCTCAAACTTAGGGCAATCCTCCTGCCTCAGCCTCCTGAGTGCTGGGATCACACCAGGTGTACACCACCACACCTGGCCCAAGAAGACAGAATTTTTGTTTCATTGCTGTTCTCCCATTACTTGGAACAATGTCCAGTACATAGTAATACTTAGTCTAATAAATGTTTTGTTCAGTAAATACCAGATGCCTTGCCCAGAAGAATAATTCCAGTTTACTGATAAGGACATGCAGGCATAGACAAACCAGGGCCATAGCCAGGTGTAGTGGTGCACGCCTGTAATTCCAGCTCTCGAGGGGCTGATGCAGGAGGTTCGCCTTGAGTTTGAGGCCAGCCTGCACTACAAAGTGAGTTCAAGGCCAACCTGAACTGCATAGCAAGACCCTGTCTCAAAAAAACAGGGCGATAATTGCTAGGAATAGGAGAAAGGGTGACAAGCTGGCTGTTTGAGCCCAGAGGAAGCCCTGTAGGAGGATGAAGGGTTATCACAACTCCGTCCGAGGATGCCTCTCCCTAGCACACTCCCTTGCTTGGTCTCCCCTATCCCTTTTCCTTGGTGTCCCCATTATCTGTCATGGAGTTGTCCATTCTAGGTGCTGCGTTCCAGGATGGAAGCAGCAATATTTTTGGAACATATACAGTGATACCTTGGTTGTTGAACTCAATTCGTTCCAAATGCATGTTTGAACACCAAAAAGTTCGAGGATTGAACATATTTTTTCCATAAGAAATAATGGAAAACCAAATAATTTGTTCTGAGGGCCAAAAAATTACACTTATAAATTCATTTTTCCAGGACTTTAAAATGATTTCTTTCTTTAACTCTGTCATGGTTCTCATAGCTCTCTTCTGACCTCCTTGTTTTTCTTTTTTTCTTTTTTTGTACCAGAGATTGAACTCGGGACCTTGCGCTTGTGAGGCAGGTGGCGGAACCACTAAACTGAATCTCCAGCCCCTGTCACAGCTCTCTTCTTTGCTTTACTGCTGGTATCACTACCCTTCTTTGGAGCCGTGGTTACAGTATTTTATGCAAACAAAGAGCAAAGAAAAGCACAGTGATGAATGTTTTAGTGCACTAACACCAGTGCTATATGTTGTCTAGGTGTGAGTGGTACACTTAGACTGAAGCATCACTCCTGTGTGTCCTAGGAGTGACCTGACTCCTGACTCACTCTCAACCCATACAGGTGCATTCAAGTTGGATTTTCAGTTCACTATCAAGCAAAGCAGGCCAATGAGCAGAATTTTTTGAACTTTGCTGTTTGAGTAGTAGAAAGTTCATAGCTTGGAGCCATTGGACAAACACCTGAGGTATCACTGTACAGTATTGTACTGTACAGTACAGGAAGTATCATCGGCTTCCTGGCATTGAACTCCTAAATCCCTAAAGTTATGTGTCTTTTTGTATGCTAATGAATGGGTTGCTGGGTGTGGAACCCCTAGGTGGCTTCAGGATGGGGACTGGCCACCAAAAAAGACTCAGGCAGGCATTAGAGGGGTGGGACTTTCAGCCCTGCACCCCAACGTCTGGAGAGGGGCTGAAGGTTAAATTGATCACCAGTAGCCATTGATTTAACCAATCATAGATATAGGGCACCAAGAAATCCAAATAAGCAAAATAACTCAAAAAAAGGAAACTATAACTCATAATTTGATAGATGCCAAAAACATGAGTTCACATTCTCTAAAATTGAAGAATGAATTCTAGGAACAACGAAGGTTAAGAGTAGAAAAAAACTTATTGAGAGAAAGATAGCTTTTAACAGAGACAGAAGGGGGACCTGAAAGTGGGTTGTCCTCCCACCCTGCTTTTCAAAGGTGTCTATCAAAGCCAGAAGGTGAGGTGGGTACAAAGTGGGACAAAACTTTAAGATCCAATGGAAAATCACAAAATGGTCATGAGGTAGGACTAAACCATGATCAACCAATAAGATAACAAGTATAGTCACCCAGTAATACTGATTAAATGGAGATCAAATGGGGAAGCTAGTCAGGTAGCAAGCATACAGGGATTCCTGGAGGAATGAGCTAGCTAGGGATGTTTCGGCCCCCAGGTAAGGTGATTGATGTCTGTTTAGAATATCAATCACTGGGCCGGAATTTAGCTCAGTGGTTCCGCCACCTGCCTCACAAGCACAAGGTCCTGAGTTGATCCCTGGTACCAAAAAAAAAAAAATTAGGTAATAGAATATCAATCACTGCTACTCATCCCTAGGGGAAGTAGGTGGGAGTTAACCTTTAGTGAATATGTCTCAGTTGTTTTCTATGCTGAGGCCCCAGCCCTCCCCAGCTGTCTTATAATATTTTCTAACTGCTATCTACAATAATATCTATGTAAGGAAGCCTCCCTAAAACCCCAAAAGAGAGTTCAGATTGTCCAAGCAACGGAATGTGTGTGGGTTCTTGGAGGTTGCAGGCCACAGTGTGTGTGGGGGCATGGAAGCTCCCAAGCCTTTCTCCCACCCTTATATATCTTTTTATCTGGCTGTTCATTTGTATCCTTTAAAATACCCTATCTGTAACAGTAAACAGTAAGTATTTCCCTGAATTCAGTGAGCTGTTCCAGCAAATTAATTGAACCCAAGGAGTGGGTTATGGGAGCCCCAGTTTGTAGCCAATCAGTCATATGTGCAGGTGAGCCAACCTGAGGCTTGCATTAATGTTGAAATGGGGCCCAATCTTGTGAGACAACCTTCAACCTGTGGGCTGTGACAATGTCCAGGTAGATAGTGTCAGAATCAGCAATGAATTAGAAGACACCAGTGGTATCCATTGTAGAGTGAACTGATTGGTTGGTACTCAGGGAAGAACTCCTATACATCTGCTATCAGTAGTGTGTTATGAGAGTATAGTGAAGAAATTCAGTTTGTTTTTGCATACTCCAGCCTGTTGTGATGGTGGCTGTTGTGATGTAGAGACTTCTGGTCTCCTAGGAACCCCTGAGGGGCCACCATGGCCTGCCAGTCTCTTGGGTTAATACCAGATGTGCAGGGGGCTGAGCCCTGGGCCCCAGCCCCAGAGTCATGCCAATGGGGGCAGCAGGGCAGTTCCTGGGATGGATAACTTAGATCCCTTAGCCATCTCTGTCCTGTTTGAGAAATGGGGCCCTCAAACAGAGAACTGCCAAGATGATCAGGCAGTAAGTGTGTGCTTGGGGCACACTCATCAGAGCCTTTAGTCTGGGACTTGACCTGCCACTCATTAGGGGGCCCAGGAAGTGGACATTTGGCATGGTTTGGCTAGGTGTCCCCACTGGGGCAGTTGAAGAGAGGAGGTCTTACAGGTCTTAGCCTGTAACTTTTCAGGGGCTAAAACATGATTTCACTGTTTTCTTGTTACCTCCTCCACCCTTCTCAAACTGTTACTTCACTAATAGTGTTTTCATTTCGGCCAGTGGTTTAGCTCTTGAGTTCTCCATGGCAAGGGCAGTGAGGCCAGCACCAGAGATGGCTGATATCTTACCCTCACCCTTCCCAACTAGAAGCCTCGGGAGATGCCTTTCTTAATGCAATTTTGGTCTTCTCAGTTTTCAGATCTCCAGGGGATCCCACCATTGTGGCCAGCATGGCCTCTGAAGATATCACTAAGCTGGCAGAGACTCTGGCCAAAACGCAAGTGGCCGGAGGACAGCTGAGTTTCAAGGGCAAGAGCCTTAAATTGAACACTGCAGAAGATGGTGAGTTCCCAGACTGGTTGTGCAAGGGAGGAGAGGAAGTGCAAGGGACGCCAACTGGTTGTACAGGTTCTTTGAGAAACATTGTGTCTAATTGTTTGTCCTGGCAGCTCTAGGAGGTCCCATGTCTTTGGAATTATTCTAACAGTGAGGCTTAAAGGCCATTTGCCCACGGATAGGGTGTAGCTCAGTGGTAAAGCATTTGCCTTCATGTTAGCAGTGGGCATCCTTTCCTCACTGCTCCTTTATCTCTCAGGGGGTGATAGAGGTTACAAAGGGGCACGATTAGTGGCAGTTTAGGATACAGCTCTTCCCACCCCTCCCTTCACCCTGTGATCCCAGGTGAGACCTGGAATATGCCATCTTTCCCAGAGCTGAGGCTGTGGTGAAATTACGTTAAAATGATCTAGGCCCTCTTAGGAGCTTCTGGGTTCTGCAACCAGATGCTCCATGGAAGCGGATGGAGGCTGTTGGGTGCAAACCAGGACACAAGTGCTGTCTTCCACCCCTGGACAGAGCTTGGTTGGCACTGGCCAGCCCTGAGTGCCCTGGTGGGTGGAAGTGAAGATACCTGCAGCAGTTTTGGTGAGGCCTCTTAGGGTTCAAGCCCAACCAAGGAAACTGGTCTGTACTTACTTGGTTGTCACAGTGCATGGGTGACCTTAACCTCCTTTTTGCCCCCAGGCTAAAGACTGCTTGAGTCCTTGGGGTGTTAGGAGTTTGGTCATGCACATTCCATAGGATCTTGAAACAGAATTCCTCTCATCATCCCTGATGGAGGTAGATGGAAATTTTTCTTTTTTTAATGAGGAAAAGGGACTTAGGAGACTTAAGTCACTTGTCCAAGGTCACTTGTCCGGGGAAATGATGAGCCGGATTTTATCAGAAATCAAGCTGAATCCTTGTTCGTGTGTTTCTAAGTAGACATTCAGTTTGGTAAACATGGATTTGATATTAAATACCACTTATTGAACACTGTGTCTGACAGGGTGTTAAGTGTCATATAAATAGTATCTCAGTTTATCTTTACCCCATTTTGCAGATTGAGAAACTGAGGCTCAAGGGGCATGGTAATGACTGACCTAAGGTTGCATTTACAAGTGCTAGACCTGGCATGAGAACCTTAGGTTTGACCTTATAATCCATGTGAGTGACTTCTCCACTGGCATAGCTGTTAGTGTCTCCCATTTTGTAGGACCCTCCTTACATGTCCAGCAGGCTCTACAGACTTCCTAATCCTGGGCAATAAAGCGGGAGGGATGTCTCTTTTCACTTAGGGGGCCCAGGAAGTCTCCATAGAGGAGCTGGTATTTCAGTTGTCCTTAAAGAATGATTTGAAGGAGAGAGGGCATTTGCAGGTGAAGAGAACCACAGGGGTTCAGACCTGGAGGTTGGGCTTAGGAGGGAGGAAATCTGAACCTCAGAGGGGGGTCAGGGCTGAGGCCTTTGTGTGCTAGGCCTAGGTAAGCTTAGAGCAAGCAGTGCACAAGGCCATGAAGCTGGTAATCACACTGTTAAAATGCCAAAGAAAGACCTTTCTCCTTTGCATGCCAGAGTAACAAACCTCCCAGACTTGTTACCTGTGAGCCTGTAGAGGCTACAAGGAGGAAGTCTATTTCTGATAGTTATTTAGGGATGAGGGGAGCCTTCCCTAAAAGCTGTTGTGTGGGGAATAGTTTCCAATTACAAATTCTTGTGCCTGGATTGAAACTGTTAGGAGGGCAGGTGCTCCTGGGATCCCACCCCTGTTGACCCTGTTTTCCCATTTTGGTGCATTTTCTTCCAGGCTTGCTCTGTGCCCAGGGCTGACCTTGCTCAGAACACTGTACCCAGTCCCTGTGCACTGATGTCATACACCTAGTTTAAGTTAGGTCTTTGCTGGGGGCCCTGGCAGTACTGCCTCTGCTCATTTTTTTTCCCCTCTGTGTTAATTACTTGGCTTGCTTGGTTCATTCTTTTGGGGTTTATGGAGTTGTAGTCCTTGTTACCTCTTTCTAGAATGTCCTTCAGAACATTTTGGAGTGCTGCTTTTGTGATTATGAATTTCTTCAGGTGTTCTTTGTCATGAAAGTATCTTATTTGAAAGATAGTTTTTCAGGGTGCATTGATCTGGGTTGGAGGTTGTTGTTTTTTAGGACTTGAAATACTTCACTCCAAACTCCTTGATTAGAGAGTTTGTGGTAAGAAGTCTGCTGTGATTTGTTTCTTTTCTCTAATAGCTTTTTTTTTTCAGTACTGGGGATCGAACTCAGGTCCTTGTGCTTGTGCAGCAGGCGGTGAAACCACTGAGCTAAATCCCTGGCCCAAGTGTAGATTTTTTTGATCATGGTTAACTGGAATTCTACATGCCTCACTAAGTTTGTATGTCAAATTCTTTTTCCATGCTTGGGAAGTTTTCTGCCATTATTTCTGTGAGCTGGTTTTTATGTTTGTGTGATCTCCTGCTTTTTCATTGACTTCAGTCAATCTTGTGTTATTCTTCTTTGGATCATCTAGCAGCTGTTGGATTGATTTTTGTGGTTCCTTACTATTTTTAAGAAATCTTTCTTTCATGATCACTAACCACAATCTTGTCTTCTAAATCTGATATTCTGTCTTCACATTGACTCATTCTGCTGCATATACTTTCTGTAGAATTTTTTTTCATTAAGTTTATTGGTACATTTTAGATATACAGTACAGTTACAGTCATCATTGGGATCTTGTACCTTTACATGATGTATCTTGATTCTTATTTTTTCCCAATTCCCCTCCCCTCCCTTCACCCCCTCCACCCTTCCCTATTTACAAAGACTTTATTTTCGTTTTTTCCTTTTCTCATGTTTTTTTTTCTTTTCCCTTTCCTTTCCTTTCCCCCTCCCACTTCCCCTACTTTCAGTGGAATTTTTGTTTGTTTTTCCAGTACCTGGGATGGAACTCAGGACCTTGCGCTTTCGAGGTGGCACCACTGAGCTAAATCCCTGGCCCTCTCAGTAGAATTTTTAATCTCCTGGATATCTGTTTGAATCTGTTTCATGGATTTCATTTCTTTCCTATGTTGGACATTCATGGTTTCCATCATTTTCCTAAGCTCCTCTATTATAGTTATTTTTTTGTTTTTGTTTTTGTTTTTTTGGTACCAGGGATCGAACTCAGGACCTTGCGCTTGTGAGGCAGGCAGTGGAATCACTGAGCTAAATCCCCAGCCCTGTTATTATTATTTTTTTAATGTATATCTGCGCTAGAGTCATTAACTGTGTCATTCCTTTATTTTGGTACCAGGGATCGAACTCGGGTCCTTGCGCTTTTGAGGCAGGCGGTGGAACCACTGAGCTAAATCCCCAGCCTCTCCATGTCTTTCATTATGATGATTATCTCTGTAGTTAGTTATCTGAGAGGTTCTTTGTTTCTTTCTGGTTTTTTTGAGAGACATTATTTCTGATTTGATTTTTTTTCTAGAGCCTCACTCATCTGCTTTGTTACTTGCGCTATTACTACTTCAGAGAGTACAGGTGGGTGGCTTTCAAACTGTTTCACCTCATTGCCCTCTGGGGTTGCCTTTGGTAACCTAGAGGTCTAGAGTTGCATTTTGCATAAGTGTCTTCTCATTTTCATTTTTTTGTTTGTTTTGGTTTAATTCCTGGGTTGATGCTTATAAATTGCTTATGGCAGGTAGCTTTATTGGTAGTGTTTAGAACCTTTAGAAAATGACTACTCAGAAATGTCTTCTAGGTGTAGCTGGCTTTTGGGTTTTGAGTCTGTTGCAAGATCCTACCTCTTCAATTTTATTTTTTTAAATTAATTAATTAGTTAATTAATTAATGTTTTCAGTATGGGGGATCAAACTCAGGACCTTTCACTTGCGAGGCAGGCATGGTGCCACTGAGCTAAATCCCTGGCCTGGCCCCCTCTTCAGTTTATTGGGGATGAGAAGTTACTGCCTATTTGGCCCAGCTCCTGATTCTCTGACACTGCTGTATAGTATTGTTTATGACCCTTAGGCAATCTCAGTCTTGGCATACCAGAAAGAACAACTGATTAGAACAATTATGTCACCTTGTCTAAAGTAGTACAATCAGCAATAACAATAGCATCAAACACAGCCTAGAGCATGACACACCGTGGTAACTATTAATTTGCCACCTTTGGGCCAGGGATTTAGCTCAGTGGTTCTGGTGCCTGCCTCGATAGCACAAGGTCCTGAGTTCAATCCCCGGTACCAGAAAAAAAAAAAAATTTGCCACCTTTAACCGTATGAACTGTATTTGTGGTTATATAACTAAATGTAAAACAAACTAAAAAATTATATACAGTAAATATGTTTTAAATATTGTGATTTTACCCTCAGGAGAGAAAACTTAAAATGGGTTACGAGGAAAAAATAGAGAAATAGAAGAAGAGGAAAAGATTAGAAGCAAGGCTGGAGGACAAAGGATGATTACATGAATTTTGGGAAACTGGTGAAGAAGACAGGGAAAGAAAGAAGGAAGAAATAAGAAGAACAGAAAAAGAAAACTAGAAATAGTGTTCACTCATAAAAAGAATAAACAAGAAAAAGAAAACAAAAACAAGAAAAAGAAGAAAAAAATGTCCTCTTCAGGGCATATCTCTACTGTTACTAGTAGACAGTGTGGGCAGACAGAGCCCAGATCCATGTTGATTAATCCCAGCAAGCCAGATGTAGATTTATGGTGGGGTAGTGGATAATCCCAGCAAGCTTGCTCCTTTAGTTCTACTGAAGTTCAGGCTGGTTTCTGGCTGTGAGGGTGGGACCCAGTTTGTTCAGCCTGCAACACTCTGTGTGCCTCCTGCCAGCTTTGAACTTGGCTCCTTGATCTCCTGTCGACTTGAACTTGGGTCCAACTCACTCTGATACTGGAGCTGCTAGATGGAGCCAGCCTGAAGCTGCTCTGAGTTCTGAGCTCAGTTGGCCCCTCTCCAAGATGGCTACTGGCCAGTCACCCTGTCCTGGGTGGACGTCTGAACCCAGATAACTCACCAGTTGCTGTAGCCTACTGTGTCCACTGTTCCATTCCATTGATTCGTTTCTCTGTGGAGGCCTCTGGGGTTGCCAGTAGTCACTGTGTCTGCAGGCTTGAGCCGCCCCTTCCATGCAGTGAATCAGGGCTCAGAAAGAAAGCACTGTTCTCTCTCTTCACTCTCCTTATGGGCTTCAATTCTTGCTTCAGATCCTTGCTGGGTCTCAGGAACCCACTTCCTCTATCTTTTCTCACAGGGCTATATTTCTGTGTCTGGACACCAGATCTCAAGAGAGGCTGTTTTTCTGCTGTTCACCACTACACCATCTTCCTAGAAGTCCTGCCTCTGTGCTCTTAAGCATTGTGAGCATCCTCTTAAGCAGCCACCCTCTCTCCTTGTAGACCTGGCAGTGCCTGGATGTTAGAGCAGGTGTCCTTTTGGAGTGAGGCTTGCAAAGTGCAGGGAGATCACTCCAGCCTTTGCCCTGGGGGCCAGCACAGAGGAAACCTAGTCCCTGGGGGCCTGGAGCTGCAGCTCCAGAGTGGTCATCCAGGCAAGTGTGGGGAGTTGGTCTTAAGAAGCTTCTTTGTGGGGATTCCATGGGGAGGAGCATATGGGTTCAGTTTTGGAAACCAGTCTGAAACCTGGCTGTACCACTTCCCCAGAAGTCCTGGGCAGTCCTTCCTTGAGACCTCAGCCTCCGCTTCTAGAAAGTCAGAAGCTCAGACCTGTCTGGCCTTCCTTGTAACACATAGGAAGTAAATGCTGGTCACCACTTTATGAGTGGGTGACCTGAGCAGGTGTTCATTTATCCTCTTTGTGCCCAGTACTGAACTACAGGCCAGATATAATAGTAGTGGCTTCTGAGGGGAGGTGGGAAAGCACACGTGTTAGTGTTACATGCTGGTCCTTGGGGACACAGTAGTGAGCACAACTGGAGCAAGTCCTTTTGCTCACAGTGTGGACCTAATGAGCAGATGCTGTTAAGATCAGGTGATCATTTAAACAGGCTTCAGATCATGTGGCCTATGCTTGCTGTAGTGTGGAGGCTGAGCAGGCTGGGAGATTGGGTAAGGCTTCTGAGGAAGGGATGCAGCAGGCCAGGGCAGGGCAGGGCTGGGAGCAAGCAAGCAAGCATGTACTGTACAGCAGGTCCCTGCATGGACTGCTTCTTGGGGATCGCCTTCCAGGTGCCAGATTCTTTTTTCAAGGTCCTTCTATGACCAGAAGGCCAAGTTCAGCTGGGTGTAGTGGCACACACCTATAAACCCAGCATTCTGGAGGTCCAATATTCTGGAAGATTCCAAGTTTGAAAAAATACTACACTAGAAAGAAAATGCACCAAAATTAACAGTAGTTTGATTCCTGGGGTATGTGACAACGATATTTTTCCTTCCTTTTTTCAAAGTTTGTGTATCCCACAATCAAGTTATATTCATTCAGTAATCTGAACAAAAGTTAATGAAACAAATATAAGCAAGACAGAGATGCGTATGTTTTGAACTAGACTAGATAAGGTTTGAATTAGACTTTTTTTTTTTTTTTTTTGAGGTCCTAGGGATTGAACCTAGGGCCTTCACACTGAGCTACATACCCAGGTCTTTTTTTCTTTTGAGACAAGGTTTTGTTAAGTCACTAAGTTGCTTAGATTTAGGTTGGGGTTGAATTTGTAACCCTCCTGCCTCAGCTTCCAGTGCTGGGATTATAGGTGTGCACTATCACATCTGGGTAACTTCTTGTTTGTTTGTTTGTTTGTTTGTTTTGTGGTACCAGAGATTGAACTCAGGACCTTGTGCTTAGGAGCAGGCAGGGGTGGCGCCACTGAGCTCATCCTTGACCCTTTTGTGTGAGTGTGTGTAACTTTTTTTTTTTTTGGTACCGGGGATCGAACTTGGGACCTTGTGCTTGCTTGGCAGGCACCAGAACCACTGAGCTAAATCCCCGGCCCCGTAACTTTTTATAATGTATCGCAACCCGCAGTGGATTAGCCTGTCCTCTTTGTCTCTCTCTTTTTCTTTTTTGTAGTGCTGGGGTAATATACCCACTGTTTATGCACATTTACATGGTTTGGAATTTTTCTTTATTAAGAGAACAGTAACCACCACATACTCTGCAGGAGAGTCACTTAACAATGCAGGACTTCTGTGGTTGTGCTTGCTGCTGTCTATTGTGCTGTTGGCCCCTCACTTTGGTGCCTTTCCCTGCCTGGTCTGGAATGTGCCCCATCTTGGAGGCCTACACTTAACCACCCACTTGGTGAAGTCATCTTTGCTGCTAGCAGCCAGCTGCTCTTTCCCGTTGGCTTCCCTGCCGTCTGTCTGCCTTATTTGAACTCAGAGGCACTGTCTGCCTCGCTGTGCCGGCTGCTGGCCCATGAGCCCGTCTGGTCCTCTGCAAGCCAGGGCTGGCACAGGGTAGGTGCACTATAGCCCTTGGAGTTACATTGATTACCAAGCTCTCCCCTGCCCCAGCTCTTTGTGACTCTGATAGCCTAACGTTATGTCTTCGGTCCTGGGCAGCTAAAGACATGATTAAAGAGATTGAAGACTTTGATGGCTTGGAGGCACTGCGCTTGGAGGGCAACACTGTGGGCGTGGAAGCTGCCCGAGTCATCGCCAAGGCCTTAGAGAAGAAGTCAGAGTTGAAGGTGAGATCTGCAGGGTGAGCAACTGGGGCTGCTTGTGGACCAGCTTCCCCCGCCTTGCTGCAGCCTGGGATCCCAGGCCCTGCTTTGGTGACTGTCACCCACACAGCTCCTCTTCCTGTGATCACCCAGAGCAGCCAGAACTGGCCGGAGTTCCTCCTCTTGCAATGAGCAGACCTGAATGGAGTTAGGAGTGCAGAGGGTTATACCTGTGATAGTGAAACTGGGAAGGGTGTTCACTCCGGTACAGGTCTGCCACCTCTGAGGAGGGAAGGATGCAGAATTAGCCACATATGCACCTCTGGGTATGCAGCCCTTCTGACAGACCCTGGCCAGGGCTCTAGGTAGGAGTGGCCCGGCCTGGGCTCTGGGTTGCAGTGGACTAGGTGCTGCTGCCAGAGGCCCAGCCAGCTGCTCCTCTCAGCCGAGGCAGGTTCTTTCCTAAAGATTAAATCCAGATGGTGCCTCCTGGGCCAACACAAAGGGCAGTTCAGAATCTCTGTTTTCTTTTTTGCTGTACTGGGGATCAAAACCAAGGGTGCTCCACCACTTGAGTTACATCCCCAGACCTTTTTTTTTTTTTTTTGGTACTGGGGATTAAACTCGGGACCTTGTGCTTGCAAGGCAGGCGCGGTGCCACTGAGCTAAATCCCTGGCCCCCCAGCCCTTTTTTGAGATAAGATCTTGCTAAGTTGCTATGGTAGAACTTAAACTTGCGATCCTTTCCAGTTTGGATTCTTTTATGCAGTGTTTCCAAAGTGGGTTCTACTGCATACCAGTCTGTCAGTGTGCTCTGTGAGAAAAGTGGGAGTATCATGTTCAGAATGGCAGGGAATGTCACTATGCTCTCTTCCCTCAGCGTCCCATTGAGTAGTAGTATATTTAAGTTAAGAGTCCTGAGGGAGAAAGACCTGTTTTTCAGACTGGAGCCATGTGCCTTAACGTGTCCAGGGCTGAGCTTGTTCTGGGCCCTTCTCCATTTGTTATTTAATCCTCACATCAGCCTGGGTAAAGTATTGGGTTGTGTCTCCGTTTTATACATCAAAAGAGCAGAGGAGGAGCTGTGCTTTGGAGTCCACAGGTCTGGGTTCCAACCCCAGCACCTCTACTTTGACCTTGCACTGAACGTGGCTCTGAAGCTGGGCTCCTGTAGGAGGTGGGGCTCTTACCCCTTAGAGGTCACTCTGAGAGAGGTTGCCACATGCTTTGTCACCCAATGTAGACCCAGGTCTGTCTCCAGTGCTGAAAGAAACGAAGCCCAGGGCAGATGCAAGCTGCTTTTGATGGCCTGCGGTGTTCAGGAAATGCACTGATGCAGGGTACAATGTTTTCTCCTCTGTGAGGTTTTTTGATAATTGACAGAAGTACTTAGGATCACACAGGAGGAGGAGGCTGGACAGAGTTCAGGTGAGGCTGAGCTCAAAATGCTCTGTTGTCACCTTGGAGATCACCAAGGCCTAAAGCCCTGTTTCACAAAAAGGGTTCCATAGGCCAGAGAAGGGGGTGACGTGGAGCCAGCTGGGTGGGGATCAGAAGCCAGGCCTTGTGCCCTGGAGCCTCAGGCCAACCGTTTGGCTCATCACACTTGGGTTGGGGAGCTTTTGGGGGAGGTGGTGCTTGGGCTGTGCTCCGTATCCCGGGCTGTATGGACCTGCATGCATAGTAACTACCCGGGCAGGCCTGGCTACACTAGACATCCAGCTGGGGCCCTGGGGTATGGGTCAGTGGCTTTATGGGAATATGTAAGCATTTTTCTACAAAAACCAACTTCCCCTAGTACAAATTAGATGTAGCTGGAATAATGTATTTATTTTTTCTTTTTTTCTGGTAGTGGGGATTGAGCTCAGGACCTTGCACTTGCCAGGCAGGTGCGGTGTAACTGAGCTACATCCCCAGTCCATAGATGGTATAATTTTTTTTCTTTTTCTTTTTTTTTTTTTTTATTGTACCAGGGATCAAACTTGGGACCTTGTGCTTGCGAGGCAGGCAGCAGCTGGTATAATTTAAGGTCTGGATCTTTAGGGGAAATTGGCTTTCCCTGTGTCCCATCAGCTCCATACATGGCCCAGTGATGGCTGCAGTTGCCAGGGTTTTATTTTTGAGAGTGGACACAGTAATCAGGGTTGGGGATAGGACTGTCACAACTAAGTTATATGGCTGCCACCTTTGTGACACTTATCTGATACTTTTCACTAAATGAGCTAAGTTGTATGCAATATCAGAACATTACTTCTTTTCTCTTTTTTTTGGTACTGAGGATCAAACTCGGGTCCTTGCGCTTGCGCAGCAGGTGGCAAAACCACTGAGCTAAATCCGCGGCCCAGAACATTATTTCTATAAGTAGAAAACCAGCATGCATTACGGTAAAGGAAATAAAGTGTATTGAGTTCTGATTTGATGCTGTTGCTACCTAAAGGCTCCAACCTGAGCCCTGGTTTCTCTGTTAGAAAGGTAAGAAATGGGAGGTGGAATGACTCAGCCCCCACAGAGGCAGTCCAATGGAGGTGGTGAGACAGGTGGAAAAAGAGGAACTTTCTTGATGCTGAGTCCTGTGTGGTTTACTTTCTTGTTCCTCTGTCACCCGGAATCATGTCACATGTCCAGTGAGAGGGTTGGACAGGTCAAAAAGCTTCCTTCTGCTTCTGCTGAGCCCCTCATAGCCCTTAGGGGCCACTTGACTTGAAGCCAGGTCTCCAGGTATCACCATCTTCAGTCAGAACTAGTCCAGCTTTTTGCAGACAAAAGTATGGGGTGAAGCCAGGCATGTTGGCACACGTCTGTAATCCCAACACTGCGGGAGGCTGAGTCAGGAGGATTACAGTTTTGAGCCCAGCCTGGGCAACTTAGTGACTTAGTAAGACCGTATCCCAAAAGAGTGGGACTGTGAGGGTCCTGGGTTCAATCCCGAGTACTACAAAAAGAAAAAAAAAACCAGGGACTGAGAGCTGGGTTGTAGCTCAGTGGTAGAGGACTTGTTAGTGAGTGCAAAGCCCTGTGTTCTATTCCAAATATTGCAAAAATCCCAGTTTGTCTTATAATGCTCAGGTCACACAGGCCCAGAGTGAGGTGATGCACATGGCTTCACGTTAGGCTCCTGACAGTCTCTGGCTAAGTCTTTGCTTCTTTTCCTGCACAGCGATGCCACTGGAGTGACATGTTCACAGGGCGCCTGCGGTCTGAGATCCCTCCAGCGCTGGTAAGAATAGGGACTGTGCTGTGCTTCTGCTTCCCCTGCCATGGGGTCCCCTGTGGCTGTTCCCTGAGTTTTTCTCACATTCTTCCTTGTGGAGCCAAAGATAAGCCCCACAGGTGACTGAGTGCTGAAGCAGAGCCTGGGTCCTGACAGGAAGGGGCGGGATACAGAACAGGACAAAGCTCGCCTGGCCTTGGGAAGGGGCAGATGTGTCTTTCTGGGGTGGCTGGGCCCCAGCAGTTGTCAGCTGTCCACCTGAGCTTGCCGTGGCCTCTCCTTAGGCTGCCATTCCTGTAGCCAACACTGGGACTCCAGAGATGCCTTGGACCCCTCTCCTTTCTGAAGAGCCTCCTTCCAGAGCCCCCTGGGGTCCTGCAGGGGGACAGGGGACAGATGCTTTAATGGCATTGAAGGGGGCCTCTGTGCAGCCTTTGAGGAAGCTCCTAGAGAGTTGATGGGGTTGGTGTCCAGCCCCAGAGGGCGAGCAGGACCAGGTGGGGCTGGGATTCAGAACTTTGGTCAGCTGAATTCATGCAGGTGTCTGATAGGAGGGTAGAAAGGGAGTGTGAGGAAACGTCTCTCTGGCATACTTGCTGGGGCTCTCGCCCTGCCTGTTATTTTCCTTGAGTCTTAGCACATGATTTGCTCCAGCCCTGTGTAGATGTTCTTACCTCCTCATTCCTGGTGAGGACAGGGAGGCTCAGGGAGGGAGAGAAAGGGCTTGTGGCAGGGAGTGGCACAGATGCAGGCAGGAGTACCATAGAGTGAGCGGCTGTGGCCACCTGCCGGTGGAGGTCATGGGGCCCGGCCTTGCAAGGGTGGGGTGGGACAAATGAGTACTGAATGGCAGAAGGACACTGGAAACCACCTCCGCTGCTACCGCCATGGCCCAGCAAGGGCAGAATGTCCCTTCCGCCCTGCCACCATGAACCATCTTCCCAGCCCCATTTTTGCCCTCCTTACTCCAATCCCTCTCTGGCAGAGCCTCCTCTCCTCTGATCCTTTCTCTTGGGGGCCTGTAGGTATCCCCATTCCTGCAGGTTTCCCTAAGAACTCCACCTCGACCAAGTCTGGTTCCTGCCACATCTGTCTGCCAGACCCCAAACCCTTGAAGGCGGCATCAGTGTGATCTCCCTGTCTCCTGCCATGCCTAGGGAACTCCTAGCTTCACAGAGTCCCTGTGAACAGGGTCACCTTCCTCCCCTACACTTCCTGCCACACCAGCTGGCTCCTGCTGTTGCCCACATTGTTGCCTCAGCTTCCAGGTGGGCACATGGCCTCTGCCTCCTCCCTCATTTCCTCCTCTGTTCACCACCACCGCAGAGCCTGTCCCCTCAGGTCAGGTTGAGGTTCTTGGCCTGGTTTGAGCCCTCACTTCCTCCTGCCCCGCCTGTTGCTTCCTGCTTGTCTCTGCACCTGTGTTTCCTGCTGCCTTCTCATTGGCTGCTCTCATCCAAACAGAGCTCATCTGCCACCTCCTACAGGGAACCCTCCCAGGGCTCCCTCCCACCTAGGCCCCATGCACTAGTTAGAAACCCTCTGTGGGGTTTCCAGTGTGGCCGTGTAATAGGAAGCTCAGTCCCAGGAAGGCATTTGTTGGTGGCCTGGGTGTCCCCCAAGGGCAGGGCTAGCCCTGGCACAGGAGCATCTGTAAAACTGACCTGAGTTCCCTCTCTGCCCAGATCTCACTAGGGGAGGGACTCATCACTGCTGGGGCCCAGCTGGTGGAGCTGGACCTAAGTGACAATGCATTCGGGCCTGATGGCGTCCGTGGATTTGAAGGCCTGCTCAAGAGCCCAGCTTGCTTCACCCTGCAGGAGCTCAAGCTCAACAACTGTGGCATGGGCATCGGTGGTGGCAAGGTGGGTGCAGGGCCCGTGTAGTCCCTCCTGCATCCACATCCAGCAGAGTGTGCTCTAGCCCCTGGCCACCCCTCTCTAGGGCTATTGTTACCTTTTCATTTCAAAGGAGAAAGGTCTCAAGGGCAGCAGCCTCTGGCCAGTGGGGAGGGGAGTCTAGGAGGGTGGGGTTGCCAAGCAACCATCCCAAGTTCTAATGCTGCTGTGTAACCTGCTCCGATTTGCTGGTTCTGCAAAATGCAGGCTTGGTGCATTCTTGCCCCTACTGTCACTCGAAACAGCTGGCAGAGCCAGGGCAAGGAAGGAGCCCAGAAAGAGAAACGTGCTGCTCCAGGAGGGTAGTCTTGCGTGCCTTGATTCCTGGGCAGAGCCTTGGTTCCACCCCCTGAACTCCAGAAAGCCAGGCTGGTCAGTGGTAGAGAGGAGCTTGTTTGCTTCCCAGCACATGCACTGAGAGGGGCAGCCTCTTTAGTCCTGCTTGTCTATCTGGGCTCTTTCAGGCCAGATTTGAGAACAGAGTTCGTTAGTTCTCTCCCCCACATACATTCTGACTAAAGGGAAAGGCTGGGGACACAGGGAACCAGCAGGGGTTGGGGACATCTTTGTGCAGATGTTTACATGCCTCACACTGAATGGTAAGTGGCCTGTCCCCATTTTCCCACATGAATAAACTCAGGCTTGGAGGAGTGGGGGTTTGTGGGTCACGGCCAGTGTGTAGGGGGTGGAATTTGAACCTTTATCCACACAGCTCCATACAGAGCAAGAGGAACTGAGGTGAGGCTCACTGTGCCACCAGGCTGAGAGAAGCCTGTGTGCTATAAAGTGAGAATGTTCCCATCCACACGGAGCAGGTGCAGCCAACCCAGAGTGAGGGGTGTCACTCAGCTCACCACACAGTAGTGCCAGGAAACAGGCTCCTGGAGCGCCCCACTGGCCTGTGCCTGTCTGGCCTATGCCATACTTGCAGTAGGTGGGATGATGTTAGGAAGCAGAGAGTTTTGAACCCGTGGCCAGGGGAGGGGGCTTCTCCGTGGACCAGCTCTGCCCTAGGCCTTGACCTGGACCATAGTCTTTCCTCATCCACGGGATTGCATTCCAAGACTCCCCTAGGTGCCTGTACTCATGGAAAGTCCCAAGCCCTAAATGTATTGGTTTTCTCTATATGTGTCAATGATAAAATTTAATTTACAAGTTAGGCATAGTGAGAGCTTAACAGAAATAGAGCAATGACAGCAACATACTATAGGAAAAGTTAGGCGAATATGGTCTCAAAATGGGTTAGTGTATTATAGATCTTAGCAACCTCACCAGATGATTGTTTTTCTTTCTTTTACTTGAGAGCTCTCAGCTTTTCATTTACAGGGACAGTTTACAGCTTTTTTTTTTTTTTGGTACCGGGGATCAAACTCCAGTCCTTGTCCTTACGCTTGTGAGGCAGGTGGCAGAACCACTGAGCTAAATCCCCAGCCCCAGTTTACAGCTTTTGTTTGGCCTATCCAAATTGCCAGCACCACTCCTCTTGGGCTTTTCTTTTTTTTTTTTTTAAACTCACTATGTAGCCCAGGCTGGGCTTGAACTCATGGAGATCCTCCTGTCAGCCTCCTGGGTGCTGGAATTACAGGTGTGTACCACCACGCCTGGCCCCCTCTTGGGTTTGAGGCCATTATTATGTACAATGAAGGCCACTTGAACACAAGCACTATGATATACAACAGTTGATATGGTAACCAAGTAGTTACCAAGTGATACTAAAGGGATTAAAGGGCAGGAGGTGTCTGCCAGGTGGATATTCTGGACTTCGACAGGACTGTGTGAGATTTCATTACACTGCTCAGAACTGTGCGATTTCAGACATGAATTATTTGTTTAAGTTTTTTTGAGTCACAGTCTCATTGTGTAGTCCAGGTTGGCCTTGAATTCACTATGTAGCTCAGGCTGGCTTGGAACTCACAGCGATCCCCGTGCCTCAGCCTCCTGAGTGCTGGGGTTACAGGTGTGGTCTACCATGTCTAGCTACTAATCAGCATTTGTACTTTGCCTCTTGGTGTAACCAGGATAGAAGCTACCTCCTAGTTCCATATTAAAAACAGGGCAAGCTGAGGTTTGTACCTCAGCAGGTGTCCCTGCTATGTCTGGCAGATGGTGTGGCTGGACCATGGTCCCAACCCGCTGGCTCCCTCAGACACCATCAAGGTTTGGGTTCTGGCTCCAGAACCTGTCACTTGCTTACTGAGCATACACAGTTTTTGAGTTTGGCATATTGGCATGCACCTATAGTCCCACCTGCTGAGGCCGGAAGGTCCCTTGAGTCCAGGAGATTGACCCCAGCCTTGAGGGGTGACCATGTGTCTGTTAGTGGGTCTGTCCATTACCACCACTGCTAGAAGCATGACACATTGCAGAGCAGGTTCAGAAGCATCCTGAAGAAGGGCCATGGGCTGTGGCCAGCGTTTTACCTTTCCCCACAGATACTGGCAGCAGCTCTGACTGAGTGTCACCGAAAGTCCAGCGCCCAAGGCAAGCCGCTAGCCCTGAAGGTCTTTGTGGCTGGCAGGAACCGACTGGAGAATGATGGAGCCACTGCCTTGGCTGAAGCTTTTGGAGTGAGTATTTTCTTCCTATCCTGCCCCACTAGGCACCAAATCGAGCTGGGTAAGGTAGGGAGTCCTGGTACCCTGTCCCACAGTGGGCCATTTCCTGCCCAGTCCCGAAAGGTCCCTAGTGTGCCACCTCAGTGGGTCAGCAGCAGCCACAAGCACAAAAGACTGACCTTGGGTAGGGCAGGCCACCTGGTCTGAGAATTGCCTGGCTTAGCAGCAGCCAGGGCAGTAGGAGCTGAACGAGACACACTTGCCTCAGATGGGGATACAAGACAGGCAGGAGCAGCTAGGAGCACTGCCTTCTCCCCAACCTCTTCCCAGGGACCCGAGTTGAGGCCTTGGGGGTGAACTCCGTGTGGACCACACTTGGCTCCCACAGGAGTAGGAACCCTGGCTTCTGTCTCCTTCTCTTCAATTTTTAAATTTTTTTGTGGTGCTGGGATTGAACCTAGGGCCTCATGCATGCTAGGCAAGTGCTCTACCACTGAGCTGCCTCCCCACCCCTGTTCCCCTCCACTCTTCATGGAAATGTTTTCTAGGGTGGCGGTGTACTGGCGGTAGCAGCCACACCCAGGCCTGAGCAGTATCCCGAAGGCCTACCACTTTAGTGGCCTGTCTGCAGGGCTGCATCTAAAGACACCTCACCTGCCTGTGTCTCCCAAGACCCCTTGGTGCAGGGGGCGCTTGCCTCTTCTGGAGCTAGGGGGGGAACTGGCTGCTTCCCTTGAATGTACCCTTCCATTGCCCTCTGGTGTGCTTAAAATGGGCTTCTTAACCCAGTGTGGGGAGAATTCAAGGGGTCTTTGAAGATAGAGGGAGAGAATCACATCATTGCTGTTTCAACATAGCTGAACACTATAGTTGACCTGTGAACAGTGGCATTTAGGAGGTGCTGACCCCCCCCCCCCCCCCGCCCCCAGTCAGGAGCCCACAGAGCCCTGAACATGCTAGGCAAGTGCTCTACTACTGGGCCACACCCCAGCCCCTGAGTGTAACGTTTGACTCCCCTCCCAAATACTCCTTTAATAGCTTGTGGTTACCCATAACATCAACAGCTGATTAACCCACATCTTGTGTGTTTTTGTTTTATGGAGTGTATCTTGGGGCAGGGGATTGAACCCAGGGCCTTGGGCATGCTAAACATGCACTTCACCACCAAGCCACACCCACACACCCCCTTTTGTGTGTTATATGTATCACAAGTGGTAGAAAACCAAAGAGGACCAAGAGAGATCACTTTTTACCTTGATGTCCAATTTATGGGTGACACAGACTACTCAAGAGGTGACCAGTGTCACATGGGTCACATGGCATTTTACAAAGACATTTGTAATATTTGAACTCACTGCTACAAAAAGTGGCTACAAAATTATTTGTGATTAGGACCAGGGATTTAGGTCAGTGGCACTACGCCTGTCTCAAAAGCGCAAGGTCCTGAGTTTGATCTCCGGCACCAAAAAAAATTATTTGTGGTATAGTGAATTTTAGCATTTACAGTGTTATACTGCATTTTTTTGTGGTACAGAAGGTTGAACCTGAGGGTGCTGAATCACTGAGCTACACCCCCAGCCCTTTTTTAGAATTTTGAAACAGGGTCTTAGCTTAGCTGCCCCGCACGGCCTTAGACTTGTGCAATGGTATGTACCTGTAGTCCCAGCCACGTGGGAGACTGAGCTGGGAGGGTCACTTGAGCCCATGGGTTTGGGGGCAGCCTGGGCAACAGTGGCATTCTGTCTCTGAAGTTAGAAGAAAAAAAAGAAATTTGTTTATTAGCATGTAAAAGTTGCCGTAACAGTAAACTTGCTCCCAGATCTTGTTATTCATAAGTACTGTTGACTAGGCATTGTTGCTCACTCTTATAATCTCAGCACTCTGGCAGGCTGAGGCAGGAAGATCACACGTTTGAACCCATCCTGGGCAACTTAGTGTTTTAGTGAGATCTTTTTCCAAAGTAGAAAATAAAAAGGACTGGGGATGTAGTTCAATGCAAAGGCCTTAGTATACTCCTTAGTCTTAGTATAAAGGAAAAAAGTACCTATGTTACTATAATATACATTCATGTTTTGATTTTTTTTTGAGATAGGTTCTTACTATGTATTCAGGCTGGCCTTGAACTCACTATGTAGCCCAGGCTGGCCTCAAACTCACAATAATCCCCCTGCCTCAGCCTCCCAAGTACTGGGATTACAGGTCTGTTCCTCCACACCTGGGCTGCATTTTGAGGTTTTGTGTGTATGTTTTGATAACTGTTTCAGTTCAGTGGACTTCCTTTGTAATTCTGTCATTTCTATTGAAATTTAAAAACATTTTTCTCAGGAAGGACCCAGGAGCTTCCTCAGCTGCCTTGATGAATGCAGGGCACAGGAAATGTTAAGCAGCCTGGTTTGTGCTGTGCCTCAGTTGGCCTGGCTGGATTTGTCTGTGACTCCTCCCACATTGTGCTGAGCACCCAGGGACAGTTGTCCCAGGCCTGTCCTCAGTCCCCATGGCATGGAGACAAGCATGGGCCCTTCCGTGAGAGCTCTGAGTTGAGGGCAGATGAGAATGGAGCTTTGATCTCCAGGGGGAGGAGCAGAATGCCATGGAAGGAAGCCTCCCTGGGGAAGGTGGTGTCCAAAATGAGAATTTAAGGGTGCACAGGAAGCTGCCTCCACACAGTTGCCAACACGTGAACGACAGGGAATGGTGCTGTGGGTGAGTGAGGTGTCCAGAGGCCTCGGTGAAAGAGGGCCAAGCGGGTCAGGGAGCCCTCCTCGCCCCCGCAGGGATGAAGCTTGTGGACCACGGTGTGGCATAGCCAGGGGAGGACGGCTCTGGAGGAGGCCAGGTGGAGGTGCACTGTCTGGAGCAGGGTCCTGACTGGTGATCCACAGTGCCCAGGGTCCCCACAGTGCAGAAGACACCGGACTGGGGCATCCACGTCCGGGTTCCAGGCCTCGTGCTCCAGAGCCTCTCTGGTTCCCAGTCTTCTTGTCTGCAGGATCCTGATCCAGTGGGTCAACCTCAGGCCTGTGGCAGATTGGGTGCAGCCAGGCCAGAAGGGTGCTTTGGGGTCTGTGTCCCAAGCCCTTGCTGGGTGTCACTGGCCCAGGCCCCACTCTGTGCTGTCCTCCTGCCTTCACAGATCATCGGGACCCTGAGGGAGGTCCACATGCCCCAGAATGGGATCAACCATCCTGGCGTCACAGCCCTGGCCCAGGCCTTCGCTATCAACCCTCTGCTGCGGGTCATCAACCTCAATGACAACACCTTCACCGAGAAGGGCGCAGTGGCTATGGCCGAGGTAGGCTGGCTTCTGCTCCCCCTTCCCTGTTGTATGCACCCCATCGGCCCAGCTCACTTGAACACATTCGGAACAAGGCCACTTGTCACAAGGAGCTGGCGCCCTGCTGCCTGAGTCCTGAGCAGCCTCCCTGGTGGGGGCTGGTTTTGCTCTCAGGCTGAGGGGGACAAGGCTGGCCGCCCTGTCTCTTCCCAAGTTGACTCATCCGCCAGCTGTTGCTTGAGCCCCTGCATGGTGCCCGGGTTGTAGGAGGTGCAGGCCCCATAGGTCTTTCCTTACAGAGGGAAGGGAGCCACGAAGCAGAGTGAGACAGGGCTCTCGGTGGCAAGGGTCCCACGGTCTCTGGGAAGGTTGGCCCTGCCGCTGTAGGTGTCACCAGACAAGTTCAGAGTTGGGGAGCATATGGGACAAGCTCTGATGGGACTGGGGCCGGCTTCCTGCAGGAGCTCGCCTTCTGGCTGAGTTGGGCAGGACAAGTAGACAGCCAGTAGGATGAGTTTCGGCAAAGGGTCATAAGGTGGGGAAGCTCCCTGGGTCCTGCTTTGAAATGACCCGCAGGTGCAAGAGGGATGAAGAAGGAGGAAGCAAGACCTCCTAGCCCTTGCTGGTTCCAGGAGGCTCTGTCCTGAAAGGAATAGGGAGCCATGGAAGGTTTTAGGGTGGTGTGCTGTGATTAGATTTTCACTTCAGGCATTCTGACTGTAACCTGGGCAGTAGGGTGGTGGAGGTTTAGCCCACATCCCAGATGCTGGTGTGGCCACGAGAGGAGCTGAGATGTGGAGGGGCAGACCAGGACACACAAGGACACCATGGGCACTGAGCAGGATGTGGCCTGGGCCCTCACTTTGGACCTTGTTTTCTTCTCACAGACCCTGAAGACCTTGCGGCAGGTGGAAGTGATCAACTTCGGGGACTGCCTGGTGCGCTCCAAGGGTGCTGTGGCCATTGCAGATGCCATTCGTGGGGCTCTACCCAAGCTCAAGGTGCCACTGGGCTCTGGGCCCTGGGCCACTCATGGGGGGTGGGGGGCAGCCCCTCTGCCTCTGTGATGTCACACTAGTTGCGCCGCCTGTCCAAGCCACAGTGAGGGAGCAGTGCAGTATCAAGAGAGCAGACCTGGGCCAGGGATTTAGCTCAGTGGTTTCGCCACCTGCTCTGCAAGAGCAAGGACCAGAGTTCGATCCCCGGTACCAAAAAAAAAAAAAGAGAGAGAGAGAGGGAGCAGACCGGCACTGATTATGGCTGGGCATGGGCATCATGTCATCACGCGTGTTTGGCTTTCCTCCCCTGTGCCTCTTGGGGAGCCAGGCTGGGGAGCAGGACCCAGGCCCCCAGTACCTGCCAGCCTCTACCTTCTTCCAGGAGCTGAACCTGTCATTCTGCGAAATCAAGCGAGATGCTGCCCTGGCTGTGGCAGAGGCCATGGCTGACAAGGCCGAGCTGGAGAGGCTGGACCTCAATGGTAATAGGGGCCAAGGGGCCCTTAGCAACCCTGCCAACCAGCCCTGTGCCATCCTCACCTTGATTTCCCTCTGAGCAGGCAATGCACTGGGAGAGGAGGGCTGCGAGCAGCTCCAGGAGGTGCTGGACGGCTTCAACATGGCCAAGGTGCTGGCATCCCTCAGGTACGAGCGTGGGCTGGTGGCCCCACGCACCTTCATTTATTCTTCCATGTGCTCACCCAGAAAATGTTGGCTGAGCACCTAGTGTGTGCCAGGCTCTCTGTTGGGCACCAGGGAGAAAGGGTGAGACACCAAGGTTTCTGACTGGTAGAAACAAGGCAGGGTGATAAAGTTGTTGGCTGTTGCACTAGGTAACATGGGGCTGAGTGTGCGAGTCTGGAGGCTGACGTGGATCTGAGCCTGATGTGGCAGAACAGCAAATACAGAGGACAGGAGGCCCTGGGGCACCTCAAGGGGACATGCACAGTGGCATTCCTGAAACTGACTAGAAAGGAAGCAGTTGGCACAAGGGAAGCTGGATGTGGTGGCACACACCTTTAGTCTTAGTACTGTGGGAGGCTGAGGCAGGAGGATCAAGTTCTACTCCAGCCAGGGTAATTTATTGAGAGTCTATCTCAAAAAATAAAACAGTGGGCCAGGGATTTAGCTCAGTGGTTCTGGCACCTGCCTTGCAAGCACAAGGTCCCGAGTTCAATCCCTGGTACCAAAAAATAAAAATAAAAAAATAAAATAGGGCTGGAGTTGTAACTCAGTACAAAGGCCCTGGGTTTAATACTCAGTACCAAAGGGAGGGTAGGGATTCCAGTATTTGCTGAGCCCATCGTAGAGGAGAGAGTAGGTGGATAGGGAGCAGCCTCCTGCAGGGCCACAGCGTTTGTGCCAGCTGTCCCCAGGCCACAGGTGGTATAGCAGACAGTTACACGAGACAAGATCTGGTTCTTCTGTGTCTGCAGCACGGTCTCCCTGGGGGGTGAAAAATGAAGGATGTGCTCCCTGGTAATCCGTGTCCTGCCCTGGGAGCAGGGTTACCCATGCTCCCCTCACAAAGCCAGGCCTCTGAGCCAGCATAGGCCGAGGGCAGGGAGGCTCTGCCTTAGCCAGCTCCTCTCTGCAGTGATGATGAGGGTGAGGATGAGGAGGATGAGGACGAGGAGGAAGGAGAAGAAGAGGAGGAGGAAGAAGAGGAGGAGGAAGAGGAAGAAGAAGAGGAGGGGGAAGAGGAGGAGCCACAGCAAAGACAAGGGGAGGAACCAGCCACACCCTCAAGGAAGATTCTGAACTCTAGCACTGGGGTATGTTCCTGTCATTGCTAGGGTCAGAGCTCTGATCCCCTGAAATCCTGGAAGGTGCAGCCACAACTACTTTTTGGTTTTTTGGGTCTCTCTGTACTTCAGGGTGGCCTTGAGCTCACTGTGTAGCCCAGGCTGGCCTCAAACTCAGTGGTCCTCTTGCCTCAGGCTCCTGAGGAGCTGGGGTTATAGGCATGTGCCACTGTGCCTGCCCCTGCCCACTTTTTATATTAGTATAGGAATAGAAACTGATGTTTTTTCTCACCCAGCAGTGAATTATCCTGGTGACCTTCAGGGACAGCCTCCTCTTTGGAGATTGTGGGTGGGACTGTGGCACATAGTTGGTGTCCCTTGCTGGGCCCTGGTGGCAGTGAAGTGCCAGCCCTAATCCATTCATTCATGTCCCCTCATAATTCCCAAATGAGGATGCCGAGGATCACCCCACCCCTGTTGTGCTGGGTGCTTTCGGGGGTTCTGGAAGCAGTGTGGTGACGAGTGGTCTCAGATGGCCACAGCTCTGACCCAGGCTGGACTCCAGTTCTGGGCAGCCTCTCCCCAGTCATTTTGGGGCCTTGCACAGCCCAGTGAGGAAGGATGCATGTGGAGGCTGAGGGTGGCCCTGCCCAGCACCCAAAAGCCCCACCTGGAGGATCGGTGCTGAGTTGGGGGACAGTTCCAGACCTTGGCCCAGGCCTGGCTAGAGCAAGGGGTGGGTGTCCCGGGAGCAGGAACAGGCAACAGGGCCCAGGGCCCAGGGCCTGAGGTTCGGAATCTGTGGTCACCTCCCACCCCAGCGTCCCCTGTTTCAGGAGCCGGCCCCGTCGCTGTCCTCCCCGCCACCCACCGACATCTCCACCTTCCTGGCCTTCCCGTCCCCTGAGAAGCTGCTGCGCCTTGGGCCCAAGAGCTCAGTGCTGATAGCCCAGCAGGTGAGACAGCTTGCTAGAGGCAGGGGACAGCAGAGCATGAGGAGAAGGAGGGGTCACTGTCACCTGGCGGCCTGGCCTTTGCTGTTCTTTTTATGTCATTAAATGCAGACACACATAAATGAGTGTGTGCAGAATATCTGTGAGTCCCCCGCCTGCAGTAAGGGCAGCCTGCCCACCCCAGCCTCACCACATGGGATCTTCACACGCAGGCTTTTCTGTGTGTTCCCAGGCTGCTGCGTGGTCAGTGGCTTCTAGAGCTGCCTCCTCCCAGGCCCTGTGTGTACCCCTGGGAGGCCACCCTTGCCCCAGTCTCACTTACTGGGTGATTGGTTGGTGCTTCATTCATTGAGAGATGATTATTGAGTGCCTGTTTGTGCCAATCACTGTACTTTGGTATGATTTGATTTTATTCATCCATTCATTCATTTGTGGTACTGGGGATTGAACCCAGCACTTTCACACTGAGCTACATCTCAGCCCTTTTTTAAAATTTTTAAAATTTTGAGACAGGGTCTCACTAAGTTTCCCAGGCTGGGCTGGAACTTCCAATCCTCCTGCCTCAGCCTCCCAAAGTGCTGGGATTACAGGTGTGTAAAACCATGCTCAGCTAATACAAACCTTTTTGTGTTCCAGCATTTTCATGTCACAGCATTCCACATTTTCCTCTGTGGGTAGGACTCTTATGCCTTTTTATTCCAGTGAGTGGATTTGTCACTTTAGAGCATGCCAGTCTTCCTGGCTGTTTCTGTTTTTCCCACCCATTCCCCTTGTTAGAGAAGTAGAAGTAGCTCTGGCATCCTTGCTTGTGAATGGTGTCTGCATTCTGTGTGATTTCTTCAGGTTAGGTGACCAGACAGGGACCTGGGGATCGTGATACTTAATGGTACTCCATCCACACAGCCATTCTCAGCTGCCCAGGTGCTGTGGGCCAGATGTGAGCCAGCTGGAGGGACAGCCTGTGTCCTGTCCACCAAGGTCCCCAGATTTCCAGTCCTCCTCTGGTCAGCAGCAGAATCCAGATGCATCTTCACCATATGCTGGAGTCCTGGGATCTGGCCTCAGTGACCTGCCATTGTCTCTTGATTCCTCAGACTGACACATCTGACCCAGAGAAGGTGGTCTCAGCCTTTCTGAAGGTGTCGTCAGTGTTCAAGGATGAAGCCACAGTGAGGACTGCAGTGCAGGATGCAGTAGGTAACATGGACCAGGGCTGGAGACATCCCCTCGAGTGGCATTGATTCGTGGTGTCCATCACTCTCTGCTGACAAAACCCCTAACCCATTCTGTCGGTGTCTTGCCATGTGGTCCTCGGGGAGCAGGCTGAGCACTGTCCAGTATTTGCAGCTTGGGGAACTGGGCCTTTCCCAAAGCCATGTGGCTGCGTCAGACCCTGCCTACCTAGGAGGCTGGAAACTCACATCCACAGGGCCCTGTAGACACTTCTGTCCAGGAGAGGAGAGCAGCTCCCTCATCCCCGCCTGTGAGCCTCTGCCCACACAGGCCTGGCCCAGAGGAGCCCTACTTGTCTTTCACACAGCTCCTGGGATCTGGGTCCTGGCCCCATTCTCAGGGTCCTCCAGTCAACGCCTGTCCTCTTCCACCTTGTTGCCATCTATCTGAGACTCCAAGGGTGGGCAGGTTTGGCCTAGAGAGGAAGAAGGGCCCTATGAATGAGGGCATCACTCGTGGCAACGGAGAGGAGAGGTGACGCGTGGTGCTTCTTCCCAGATTCATCTCATGCCCCAGGGTCGCAGGGGCAGGGGCTTCAATGGGAACTGAGGCTGAGCGTTCGGGGGAACACATTATGTTCCCCAGAATAACTGCTGTCCCTACCAGTCCCCTTCCTCAGTCTGTTGCACTGTGTGAGGTGGCGCAGGGGTGTAGTTCCCATGCTGTTCCACACGTGAGGCCAAGATGGCGGAGGAGCTATAGCGGGCAGAGTGATTGAGCCTCTCCCTGGTGCCAGCTGCCCCTCGCCCTGGCGCTGTGTGCCTGCTGTCCCTCCCCGCCTCCCTGTTTGGATGGGACAGGGAGGCAGGGCCAGGCCTGTGTGCCAAGGGGCTCTGGGAACCTCCGGTCTGCACCAGCCTCTCCTGCCTCTCACCCTGCCACACTCTGCTTGTACCCACAGATGCCCTCATGAGGAAGGCCTTCAGTTCCTCGGCCTTCAATGCCAACGCCTTCCTTACCAGGCTCCTGGTTCACATGGGCCTGCTCAAGGTGAGGCCTGTGTGTCCCTGGGGCCAGGGCTTTCCCATGGGACCTCCACTGGTGCTTGGCCACAGGGCTGAGCTGTGTCCCTGTGGTGGGGAGTGAGGGTACCTGGCCTTCCCCCACCTTCTCTGTGTTCCCCTTGAAGAGTGAAGACAAGATCAAGGCCATCACCAACCTCTGCGGCCCCCTGATGGCGCTGAACCACATGGTGCAGCAGGACTACTTCCCTAAGGCCCTTGCACCCCTGCTGTTGGCCTTCGTCACCAAGTGAGTGTGGCTTTGTCATGCCCTCTGTTGGCTGGGCTCCAGGAGTCCCCGCCAGGCCACCGGGCAAGCAGGGGTAGAAGGGCTTGTGTCTCCCTTGCAGAGTCCCAGTGAAAATAGGAGCAGTTGAGTCCCCCAGTTGGGTGACAGATGCCGCTGTCCACCCCACACACCCTGCTTTTCCCTGCAGGCCCAATGGCGCCCTGGAATCCTGCTCCTTTGCCCGCCACAGCCTGCTGCAGACACTCTACAAGGTGTAGCTTCCAGGCCGTCTCTTCTGTCCCTCAACCTGTACCAGGGACAAGGGACCTGGAGGAACTGAGCTACAGCCCGAGAGTCCCCAGGACAGGACTCTGACCAGAGGCAGGGAGGGTCTTTGTTTCATGTCATGTTGGGCCCAGTGTGTATGTCGGTGTGGTGTGTGTGCCTCCTGTGTCGGGACTGGGGTTTTTCATGTCTCCTTGGCCCTGGTCTGTCGTGGGGCGTTGGCCCCAGGAATGGGCTGCAGGCTGCTTTGCCATTAAACTCACTGCCATCCGAGGGCATTCTGCGCTCCATGCCGCAGCTGTCCCCCCGCCCTGCTGTCCTGCTGCCCTGGGGTGTGCCGAAGCCTAGGATATTGCTGTCTCTGTGCTCTGCTGTCCCTCTGTGTCACGTTGGGCTATCTTCTACCTGGCCTAGACCTGCAGCAACTGCTGTCCCTGCTGTTCAAGCCTGTCATGCACACCCCGAGGCCTAAGGACCAGGCTCAGGGTGGGGCTGTCGCAGAGGGCAGGACCCCACCCCTGCTCATGTAGACCAGAAGAAACACCATGGGTGACAGGGCAGGGGGTGGGTGTTGGGTCCAGGAGGAGCAGGACCTGGGGCTGCACTGGCTCCTGCAGCCAGCGGGGGCCAAGCCAGAGGGGCACTGTGCCAGGCCCAGACCTGTTCTGCCCAGGGAGGAGCTGGTGCTGTGATCCCTGCGCTGCATCTGGGGTGCTGAGGACCCCCTGCGGTGAGGAGGGTCGGGCTGGGCTGGGCACCCCCATGACTGCCTCATGCTTCCTGTGTGCTCTCTTGTGTGTCTAGGCTGTGCCTGGCAGCTTTACAAATAAAGTCACTTATGTCAGCTGGGGAGACCAAGTAGCTTCTCTCACCCAAGTGGGGCATCATCCGTGCAGTATAAGTGGGCCCCACCTGGGTCCTGCAGGAGGCTGCTGCCAGCCTCGTGCTGTCACCCAGGCAGTGAGCTGCCGAGCTGGGCCTGTCCTGACTGTGGCCCACACGTCCCTGTCACTCCCCTTGGGCTGTAGCTCCTTGGTCCCATGTTCCTCACCAGGCCCTGTTCTGAACTGTGTTTTCTGAGCTGCCTTTGGGGAGCTCCATTAGGCACTGGCCCAGAAGCCAGCAGTGGTGGCCCATGTTTGCACATTGGGCAGGGAGATAAGAGAAACCTTGAAGTATTAGGGTGAAAGAGTGCTAAGAACTGGAGGAACCCAGAGAGCCATGCCCTGAGGTTCAGCCAGGGCATCTGCAGGATGCTATGGTGCCCTCTGGCCGACCACGCAGGGCTGAAGGGAGAACAGGGCTCTCATGCCATTCCCACAGGCCCTCGGTGCCCAGCTCCCTGGACCCCCAGCAGAGGACGTGGTCTCCAGAGTGCAGGCTGCCGATTGCCCTGGCCCCACTCAATTAGCCCAGCTGGAGAGGCCCAGAGGTGGGAGAGAGGAGCCTGTGACTACTGCTTGCTGAGGTCACCTTTGGGATTCCTAGACCTCAAATGCCAACCTCCAGCTTATAAAGACCCCAGGGATCATGACTGCATCGGAAAGATCTGTGGTGCCTGAGCTCCTGCCTAGGCAAGGCCTGCTCAGCCTGAGGCTCTCCCAACAGCACCTCAGCCCATACTAGCAATTCTGTTTTACACCTAGACTAGCAAAGCCCCCAGGAAGCAGGGTCAGGGGACTCCTAGCAGCACAGTTCATGATGGTAAGGACCTAGAGTCAACTCCCAGGCTGTATTAGCTTTCCCATCACTGGGACAAAATACCTGATAAGTACAACTTCAGAGCCTTGTTTTGGCTCTCACTTTCATAGAGTTCAGTCCATGGTTGGCTGGCTCCAAGGCAGAAAGCATGGTGGAGGAAAGCTGCTCAGTCTAGCAGCCAGGAAGCAGAAGGGAAGAGCTGGGGACAAGAACAGTCTTCCAATCACACCCCTAGTGACCACCTCCAACTATGTCTCGCCTCCTGACAGCACATTCAGCCATGAATTCACCTATGGGTGAACCCACTGATCCATGTAGCACCCCATCATCCAGTCACCTCCAAGAAGCCCCGCCTCTGAACACAGGAACTTTTAGATCTACACCATCACAGGCCAAAATCAGGAAAATGACAGGTAAAAGTAAAGCCACTCAGTGCAGTGTTGTACAGAGGAAAATTCAACACAGACGAGTCAGTAGTAAGTTGAGAGAAGAAAGCATGATACCAGTGGTTCTAAGACAAGGTATATGTGATTCTATTTTCATTAAAAGGGGTGATGTCTAATAGCATGTTGGAAGGACCACACACCATGACCAAGTGGGATTTATCCCTGGGATGCAAGGATGGATGGTTCAACATGAAAGCCAGTGTAACGGACCACACTAGCAGAACAAGGGTGAGAGGTCACAAGGTTATCCTAATGGACACAGAAAAGGCATTTGACAAAATTCAGCATTCTTGGGCCGGGGATTTAGCTCAGTGGTTCTGCTGCCTGCCTCACAAGCACAAGGTCCCGAGTTCGATCCCCAGTACCAAAAAAACCCCAAACAAAATTCAGCATTCTCATGATACAAACCAGGAATAGAAGGAAATTCCCTCAAGATAGTAAAGGCCATATGGGAAAAGCCCATAGTTAACATGATAATGGTGAAAATCAAGCTTTTCCTTTAAGATGGGAAACAAGGTGAAAATGCCCACTTTCCACTCCCCCTGGACAGATCCCAGGGCCTTTTGCCTACACCTGCAGACCTTTCCTAATATTTTGGGACAGGATCAGGCTAGACTACCTGCTAAATTGCCCAAGCGTGCACAACATTACAGGCATGCAAGAGCATTGGATTACAGGGTCTTGCTCTAATTCAGGTTGGCCAGCATTCAACTATGTCGCCTAGCTGGCCTTGAAGTTGTGATCTTCCTGCCTCAGCCTCCTGAATGCTGGGATTATAAGTGTGCACCACTACACCTGACTTGCCTGGTAACTCTTAACCCCTTCTATTCAACACAGTATATTATTGGGAGTTGTAGCCAGAGTGATTAAGCAAGGGGGAAAAAAGCATTCAAATTAGACAAAAGTAAAATCATCTCACATATGACATAATCCTATATAGAGAAGAGCCTAAAAACTCCACTTGAAAGTAGTTAGAACTAATAATCACAGAATTACCATTAGCCTGCAGTCCTGCTTCAGAGTACATAGCCACAGAACTATAAAGCAGAGACTCACATGCACACCAATGTTCATAGCAGCATTCACAACCAAGTGACAGCCAGCTGGTGGAAACAACTTCACTGTCCATGTGTGTAGAATGGTATATTATTCAGCCAGGAAAAAGTATGCGCCCTTGATGTTCTACAGCGTGGATAAACCCTGAAAACTTTGTTAAGTAAAATAAGGGCAAATACTATATGATTCCTCTTAGATCAAGTTACAGTATCTAGAACAGGCAAACACATGGAAACCCAAAGTAGAAGCCAGATATTGCAACATATGTTGTAATCCCAGCATTCTGGGAAGCTGAGGTAGGAGAATCATTTTGATCCCAGCCTGGGTAACTCAGACTTAATGAGACTCTGTCTCAAAATTTAAAAAAGAAAAAAAAAAGGGAGGGGGGGCTGGGGATGTAGCTCAGTGATAAGAGCACTTGTCTAGCATGGGTTCAGTCCCCATCAGTGCAAAAACAGATGAAGTCAATAGGAAATGCTCTTGAAAAGGCACTTAACACAAAAAAGTGAAAATATGCTTAATTAGACATCAGAGAAACTAAAATCATAACATGATACCCTCAGCAGAATGGCTAAAATACAGAGACAATACCAAGTGGTCTTTATTGTTTTTGAGGCAGGGTCTCACTGTGTGTGTGTGTGTGTGTGCGCGGGAAAGACAGGGTTTCACTATGTAGTTCACCCTGGCCTTGAACTCATGGCAATCCTCCTGCCTCAGGCTCCTTAGTGCTAGGATTACAGACCTTTTCCCTCTCACCTGGCACAGTACCAAATGTTGGTGGGGATGTGGAACAATAGGAACTCTCAGATACTGCAGTAATGTGTACATTAAAGCAACCACGCTGGGACAAGGCAGCGTCCACGGAAGCTGAAAGTTAATGTACATTAAGACCAGCAGTTCCATTCCTCACATCTCACAGAAATGGTGGCAAACATACTAACCAACACTTTCCCAGATGGACTCATGCTGGAAGCAGCCTCATTATCCAATGACAACAGGACAGGTAAAGTAGCTGAGGTACAATAAGATACCCAGAGGGCAGAAGTGACATTGTGGGGCTTTCCAGCACACAGTGATTAAAAACAGACCAAGCTGGGTGTGGAGGTTTATGCCTACGATCCCAGCTTCTTGGGAGCCTAAGGCAGGTGGATCACAAATTCAAGGTCAGCCTGGGCAGGACAGTAAGATCTTGTCTCAAAGTTTAAAATAGTGATGATGGATCTCAGTGGTAGAGCGCTTCCTAGCATGCACTAGACTGTTCAATTCCCAGCAATCCATACCCATACCTAGATAAACCTCAAGTTGGTTCCTTTGTATTTGTTTCTATTTTTTTTTTTTTTTTGTACTGGGGATCGAACTTGGGTCCTTGCACTTGCAAGGCAGGCAGCAGAACCACTGAGGTAAATCCCCAGCCCCTGTTTCTAATTTTTTATTCTCTTTCTTCCCCGCCCCCTCCCACCTTCGGTACCAAGGATCAAACTCAGGACCTTATGCTTGCATGGCCGGCGTAGTGCCACTGAGCTAAATCCCTGGCCCACTCCCTCCTTCCCTCCCTTCTTTTCTTTTCTTTCTTTTCCTTTCTTTCTTCTTTCTTTCTTTCTTCCTTTCTTTCTCTCTCTCTTTCTCTCTCTCTCTCTCCCTCCCTCCTTCCTTCCTTTTTAAATTTTTTTTGAAAGGCTCTCACTCATCAGTAGCCTCGAACTGAAGTCCTCCTGTCTCAGCCGCTGAGTGCTAGGATTACAGGCATGCACCGTCAGCCCCACCTCTACCCCATTTCATTTCAATCCCCCACCTTGAGCTTTCCACCAACAATATCCCTGTTACTGGGGCAAACTGTCCTTCCTTTTGTGTCCCAGGCCACTGTTGTGGTATATTATGGGATGGAATGCTAGCATGCTATTAAAAAATGAAAATGAACAAATTAAAACTATTCCTTAAAACCTGAGTGAATGTTACATACTGTTGAGTGAAGAGCCAAACATGAATGAGCACACGCTGGTTCCACTGCTATGGGACTGGCTGTCTTATGGCCACATCACCCTGAGTGTGCCTGATCTCTGATATAAAATTTGTTGAGTGAAAGTGTGTGAAAGTCTAGTTTTTAAAAAAAGGCTACAATTGTAGAACCCTTGCCTAGCAAGCGTGAGCCCTGGATTCAATCCCTATAAATGCAAAGCAAAACACCAAAACATCTAAACAAACTGAATTATAAACATACAGCTCCATCACAAACCTGGATCTGAAAATTATAGGATACAGAAATCTTTGCTATGGTCTAGATGTATTCTTTCTTTTCTGTTTTGTTTTCTTTGTTACAGAGGATTGACACCAGGTCCTTCTCACAAGCTACATCTTCAGACCTTTTTAAAAATATTGAGTGGTAGGGATTTAGCTCAGTGGTTCCAGTGCCTGCCTCACAAGCACAAGGTCCCGAGTTCGATCTCCGGTACCAAAAAATAAAAATATCGAGACAAGGTCTCACTACAACACTAAGTTACCCAGGCTAGTGTTGAGTTTACTATCCTATCTCAGCCTCCTAGCATGCTGGAATTATAGATGTGCACCACCACACCTGGCTTTATTTCATTCTTAAAGTGCACATGTGCCTGGGAAGATGTATATTTGGATATATTTTGGAACATTGTAACAGCAAAAACAAGTGGAGGGAATCTGTAGGGGACCCTGCCCTGGCTCCATGCTGGGGTGCCACCTGCAGCGGGCTCACCCCACCACCCTTCCTTCGGACACAGAGCCACTACTTTGTTCCTCCCTTACCCGGGGGCCAACAAAGAGGGAGTCAGCTCAACCTGCCAGCAGCCAGTGGGCTCATGACCTTTGGCTCACCTCCAAACACGGGCACAAGCAATCAAAGTAACACAAGATTCATCTGCTTCCCAATCTCCATTAGTGCACACTCTGATAAACAACTTAACCTCAGCTGTCTTAACTTTTACCTATTATGCAGGCTCACCCAAGTGCAGCCATGCTCCTTTGTGCTCACAGAGGAGGTCAATTAGGCGTTAATTCTCCTCTGGTCCTCAACAGGAATCAAAATATACAAGATGGATGGATAGGTAAGTTCCATGCATTCATTCAGTGGAATACTATGTAACAGCCAATCGGAATGGGTAGAGGCATGAATGTGGTTAACTCCCAAGAATCCAATGTTGTAAACTAAATCAATTTTGCAGATGTATGTGCAGTATCCAATTGAATGCATCCAAGTGGATTTAGAAAGAAAGGAGTAAACCATTCTTCCCACAGGTGCCTACCATACCCTTCCAGCAATCCCATGAGCAAGCCCCTAACATTGTGTTTTTCAGAGAACAGGAAACAGGCTCAGCAAAGGGTGGCCCACACAGGGTCCCTCAGAGCCCCAAGGAAGCCCAATATCAGGCACCCGCAGGCTGGATCCTCCTGGCCCCTCCCTGCTCGGTGGCCTGGGAACTCAGCTCTGGGCTCTGTTCCCGGGCCTGCAGCGGGCAGGAGGCCCTGTAACTGCAGTTACTGCCCCCACCCCTGCCCACAGCCTGGGGAAGCCCCAACTCACCCAGGCAGTGACAATGCCTCCCATTCAGCCCTGTTCCTGCTGGCAGGCCTGAGGGCCAAGGAGGGGGGCTCCTGCCAGCATCCAGGCGGGGACTCTCTTGTGCTGAGACTCGGGCTGGCTGTTCCTTGGGCAGCATGGAGTGGTGAGTCTTTGGGCTCCAAGGGACAAGGGGGCCTTAGGGCAGCTCTGTGGCTGCAGGCAGGTTCCGCTCTTCTCTGGGCCTCGGAGAGGCTGGGGGACAGGGACTCCGGGACTTTCCCTAGGGGTGGGTGGGTTGGCATGAGGGTGTCAGGGATGTCCAGGCTGCTCTGGGACTTTCTGTGCACTGGTCCTGGGGCCTTGTCCAAGGCTCAACAGCAGCCCCCTGAGCCCTATAGACCCTGTCCCTCAGGGCCCCACCTGATCGGGTCCCTTCCTGGCCTGCCCTGACCACAGGCCACCAGCACCAAGATGGGTGGACCTTGGGACTCAAACACAGTGACAATCGTGAGCAGGGAGGGGGAGGCACAGCCCAGGTGACATGGCTAGGAACAGAAGGGAGGCTGGTGATCAAAGTGACACAGGTGGCAAAGAGGGGGCTCCATGCCAATGCAGTGACAGTGACGCTGTTCATGCTTAGGGTTGGTGGGGGAGGTGGGCACCATGGAAGAACAGGTTCTGTTGAGTCGGGGCCTGGGATTCCACTAAGGCAGGAGGGAGGTTTGCAGTGGGGTGCCAGGCTGTTCTGGAAAGTTCCTCTCAGCTGCTGGGTGGTGAGCAGAGCAGACGGGAGGCCAGGAGAACCATGGCGGCAGCAGTTGTCCCTAAGAAGAGGTGGGCAAACTGGGTGTGGTGGCACAGGCTTGTCATGGAAACTACTTGGGGAGCTGAGGCAGGAGGATCACAAGTTTGAAACGAGCCTGGTCAACTTAGTGACTTAGCGAGACCCTGTCTCAAAATAAAAAAATTAAAAAGGGGCAGGGATGTTGCTCAGTGTGAGGGCCTAGGGTTCAATCCCCAGTACAAAAGAAAAAAAGGGACTCACTGGGTTGATTTTGTGAGCCTCAGTTTCCTCCAGGGTGAAACAGGACCGATAACAGAAGTTCTGGTGTGTGGGGTAGGAGAACAGGCTCCGGCCAATGGCACTGTGGGCCCAAAGGCTGGGCTGGGTGAGGGGCAGCCAACTGTCTCTCCCTCTCCAGGCTCCAGAGTTCCACCAATGTCTCCTGGATGCTGCTGCTGCTGCTGCTGCCACTGGGTCCAGTCTGGCATGCAGCTGCCCAGCGCTGCCCACAGCCCTGCATCTGTGACAATGCCAGGCGGCATGTTTCCTGTCGGAACCAGAACCTCACTGAGGTGCCCAGCGCCATCCCAGAGGTCAGTGTGGTGGAAGTATGGGCACAGGGTGGCAGAGTGGCAGTGGGGAGAGGGCTGCAGGAGGAGTTTGGGCTGGGCAGTGGATCTGTCACTGTCTGGTGGGGACTGCCTGGCAAATTACTTCCCTCTGAGCTCAGTCTTCACCTCTGTAAAATGGGAAGGATAATACACAATCGCCGGGCTGGGCGTGGTAGTACACTTGGGAGGCTGAGGCAGGAGGATCATCATTAGTTCGGGGTCAGCCTGAGCTGTACATTGAGATCTTATCTTAAAAAAAAAACAAACCCTATTGGGCCAGGGATTTAGTTCAGCGGCACAGCACCTGCCTGGCAAGTGCAAGGTCCTGAGTTTGAGGTGACCTACAGATAAATACTGGCTTCAGTACAGATCCTTTTGCAGAGAACTGGGGTGTAGCAGGGTAAGATGCTGTCTTTGGGCTATGGAGTTAGGAGGCAGAGGAAGAGAAAAAGTAAGGCAGTGACAAGACAGTGTGACTAGTGCCACCGGGGTGTGTGTGTGTGTGCGGGGGGGGGGGTGCTCAAAGGCTGGGGGCTAAGGAAGGCTTCAGGGAGGAAGCATCCAGAAGCAGGATGAGGAGAAATAAGGGGGATAGTTCCAGGCGAGGCACAGGCACGTGCCAAGCTCAGCCTCGCCTTCCCCTCGCCTAGCTCACGCAGAGGCTGGACCTGCAGGGCAACGCGCTGAGGGTGATCCCCCCCGCTGCCTTCCGGGACCTGCCGCATCTCACACACCTGGACCTGCGGCACTGCCAGGTAGAGCAGGTGGCGGAGGGCGCCTTCCGGGGCCTGGGCCGCTTGCTGCTCCTCAACCTGGCCTCCAACCGCCTACGCATGCTGCCCCAGGAGGCACTGGACGGGCTGGGCTCGCTGCGGCACCTGGAGCTGGAGCAGAATGTGCTGGAGGAGCTGCGGCCAGGCGCCTTTGGGGCACTGGGCGCGCTGGCCACGCTGAACCTGGCACACAATGCACTGGTCTACCTGCCGGCCATGGCCTTCCAGGGGCTACTGCGCGCGCGCTGGCTGCAGCTGGCACACAACTTGCTCAGCGTGCTGGCCCCCGAGGCCCTGGCTGGCCTGCCCGCGCTGCGCCGCCTCAGCCTGCAGCACAATGAGTTCCAGGCGCTGCCCGGGGCCGCGCTGTCCCAGGCCCGCGGCCTGGCCCGCCTGGAGCTGGGCCACAACCCGCTCACCTACGCGGGTGAGGAGGACGGCCTGGCGCTCCCGGGCCTGCGCGAGCTGGCACTGGACCACGGCGCGCTGCAAGCCCTGGGCCCCCGGGCCTTTGCCCACTGCCCGCGTCTGCACAAGCTCGACCTCCGCGGGAACCAGCTGGACGCGCTGCCCCCGCTGCAGGGCCCAGGCCAGCTGCGCCTCCTGCGGCTACAGGGCAACCCACTGTGGTGCGGCTGCCAGGCTCGGCCCCTGCTCGAGTGGCTGGCCCGGGCACGCGTGCGCTCGGATGGCGTGTGCCAGGGCCCAAGAAGGCTGCGCAACGAGGCGCTGGACGCGCTGCGGCCCTCGGACCTGCACTGCCCCGGAGACCCGGAGGAGGACGAGCCCGAGGAGCGGGCAGCCGAGCCTCGAGTGTCGCCCCGCGCCCCCGCAGAGCCCGAGGCTGAGGCAGTGCCCTGCCCGCGCACCTGCGTGTGCGCCCCTGGCTCGAGGCACAGCGTCTGTGAGGGCCGTGGGCTGCAAGCAGTGCCCCGCGGCTTCCCCAGCGACACCCAGCTGCTGGATCTGCGGCGCAACCATTTCCCCTCTGTGCCCCGGGCGGCCTTTCCCGGCCTGGGCCACCTGGTGTCGCTGCACCTGCAGCATTGCGGCATCTCAGAGATGGAGGCGGGTGCCCTGGCGGGGCTGGGCCGCCTCCTCTACCTCTACCTCTCTGACAACCAGCTCTCTGGCCTCGGCGCTGCTGCTCTTGAAGGGGTCCCCCACCTGGGGTACCTGTACCTGGAGCGGAACCGCTTCCTGCAGGTGCCAGGTGCTGCCCTGCGCGCCCTGCCCAGCCTTGTGTCCCTGCACCTGCAGGACAACGCCCTGGAGCGCCTGGGCCCTGGGGACCTGGCAGGCGTTCGGGCCTTGCGCTGGCTCTATCTGAGCGGAAATCGCATCACTCAGGTGTCCCCAGGGGCGCTTGGGGCAGCTCGTGAGCTGGAGAAGCTGTACCTGGACAGGAACCAGCTTCGAGAGGTGCCCACTGGGGCCCTGGAAGGGCTGCCTGCCCTGCAAGAGCTGCAGCTTTCAGGAAACCCACTCCGAGCCCTGCATGACGGGGGATTCCGGCCCACTGGGCGGTCACTGCAGCACCTCTTCTTGAACAGTAGTGGTTTGGAGCAGGTGGGCACCCGTGTGGCGGGGGACACAGCACAAGTCCATATGCAATCATAAATTTACTCAGTAAGCCTTTGTCACCCTGAGGGTCAGGTTTTAGGCTGGACATGGGAACCCTGAGGATAAACATGTTCCCTGTCCTTATGGCGCCTAGGTGTGGGTGACAGGCCAGGTGGAATCAAGTGCCACCCAGCTAGAGGTGTGCCCCCTGGGGGCACTGTGGGGAATGAGGGAGGGAGGAATTTGGGTCAGAGGTGTTACCTACTGTTGAGAGTTCCCAAGAGGCTTGTTAAGGGGATGGGTGGGGTTTAGGCATAGCAGAAAGAACAATGAACTGGGCCTCTGGGTGACTTGGACATGAGATCCACCTGGGTCTTGAGCCCTGCAATGGCCCTCCTACCTGGGCTACCTTGGGCTCTCCAGCTTCCCCTCTGCAGACCGAGGGTGGTGCAGGCCTGATAGGAACTCACACCAGGGCCTGGCACCCCCTTGCAGATTTCTCCAGGGGCCTTCTCTGGCCTGGGGCCCAGGCTCCAGAGCCTGCACTTGCAGAAGAACCAACTTCGGGCCCTGCCTGCCCTGCCCAGTCTCAGTGGGCTTGAGCTCATTGACCTCAGTGGCAACCCCTTCCACTGTGACTGCCAGCTGCTCCCACTGCACAGGTAGGAGCACTTCCACCTCCCAGCCAAGCCCTTGGATGCCTTGTCTGTTACTTTTTTTGGTGGTGCTAGGGATTGAACCTAGGGCCTTGTGCTTACTAATAAAGCACTCTACTGCTGAGCTCCACCCCCAGCACTATTTTATTTTTTGAGACAGGCTCTGAGTTGCTCATGCTGGCCTTAACTTGCAGTCGTCCTGCCTCAGCTTCCTGAGTAGCTTGGGTTGCAGGCATGAGCCACCATGCCCTGCTCCTGTCACTATTCTTATTCCCTTTTCATAGAGAAAGGATCTGAGGCTTGCAGTGACTTAGAGGCCACATAACTGGTGAGCCACAGAGCCAGGACTCTGAGCAGTGCCTGCTCCCCACTAGACCCACTGTCCCCAAACTCCCAATCACCCCCCACCCCCCTCAGGAAGGTCCGACCATGTGCTCCCCAAGCTTTTTCCTCCTCAGGTGGCTCACTGGGCTGAACCTGCGTGTGGGAGCCACCTGTGCCACCCCTCCCAGTGCCCGGGGCCAGCGGGTGAAGGCTGCAGTTGCTGTCTTTGAAGCCTGCCCAGGCTGGGCTGCCAGGAAGGCCAAGCGGACACCGGCATCCAGGCCAGGGACCAGGAGGACCTCAGTCAAGGGAAGGCTGTGAGGAGCTGGCAAGGTTGGCCTGGGTGGGGGTTCGGGTCCTACAGCTCTGAGAGCAGGGCTCTGACTTCACGTCCAACTTGTGGGCCCCAGAGCTGAGCAATGGCCCGTGGCCCCACCGTGTTTCTCCATGATGTTCCCTCCTTACCTCCAAAGAAAATGATTATGTGCCATTTTGTCCCGTGGGACGGTGGTCTTTCCTCTGAGCCACGGTACCTGGGTCCTAGTGTGGTCTTTAAAGTCAGTTATGTTTCTGCTGGATTGGTGTTGACTCAGCTACTCCCATCCCGACCTCAACCTCATGGTGTTGCTTAGTGGGGAGCGAGGGACAGGTGTGCTGCTGGCTCTGCTGCTGCACCCCCACCCCCAGCACAGGTTGGCCCTGACTTGACATTCGCATCCTGACTCAGCTTGAACTCTCAGTTGTAAGGTATGCAGAACATGGGTTCCCCAGCTGGGCCCTGGGGGGAAACTCATAGCAGAGAAGGCAGGCATGGGGCTGCCTCCCTCAGGAGCTACATTTCAGAGATTGGAAGTGCCTGGGGTCATTTGGTGGTGTTTCTATTAGTTCCAGGGGCTGCCACAACCAAGCATCACAAACTGGGTGACACAGAATGGCAGAAATCTGTCTGCCTGTTCGGGAGGGTTGAAGTTGGAAATCAGTGTTGAGGGCCACTGTCTGAAACCCGAGTGGAAGGATGCTCTCTGGGTCCTTCCAGCCACTCGGTGGCCTGAGATGGCTCACGGCTGAATCCTCATGTGTCTCCATCTTCACGTGGTGTTCTGTGTGTCTTCACATAGCTGCCTTCTGTACCTGTCAGTGGGGTTCCCTTCCATCATTTTCCTCCCTGCAGTGCTGGGAATGAACCTAGGGCCTTGTATATGCTAGGCAAGTGCTCTACTACTGAGCTATATCCCCAACCCATTTATTGATTGACTGAGACAGGGTCTCACTGTGTAGTTTCGGCTGGCCTTGAACTCATGGTGATGTTCCTGCTTCAGCCTCCCCAGTGCTGAGGCATGTGCCATTATGCCCAGCTCATTCCTAGCCCTTTTATAAATTTTGAGACAAGGTCTTACTAAGTTGCCCAGGCTGGCCTCAAACTTGCAATCTTCCTGCCTCAGCCTCCTGAGTTGCTGGTATTACAGACATACCTGGTACAAATACCCCCTTTTTATAAGGATATTGGCCATAGTGAAATAGAGCCCAACCTAATGAGCTCATTTCAGGACTGCATTACTGCTATCAAGAGCTTACTTTCAGGTAAAATTAGACTCTGAGTTTCCGGGGGTTAAGCCCCCAACATACCTCTTTGGGGAAAGTACAACGTGCCCATTAACAGTGTTCTGTGAGGAGGGAGCTGGAGTGATGAGACTCCTCAGAAGCCCCTAAGCTGCAGGGGAACAAGTTCTGCCACAGAAGCACCACTGAGCTGGCTTTAGTGACAACAGCGATGTGGTCTCCGCCCACATTCATGTGGCATCGACCTGCCAGGCGCTTGGCTGGTACCTGGCACCTGCAGCAGCCCCAGGAGAAAGGTGAGCAGGCTGGGCCAGGCCAACCCACCCCAGCTCAGGGTGTGGCTAAAGAGGATGGGGGTTCAGCAGGAACTGGACCTCTCAGAACATTTTGTTTCTGACATGAAGTAAATATCCAGTAAATAGGCCAGTGCTGGGGTTCTGGGTCATGATTACTTTCTTCATCTTTTGAGACACCATCTTGCTAAGTCCCTAAGTGGCCCAGGGTGGGGTCAAACTTCTGATCCTCCTGCCTCAGTCTCCTAGTGATGGGAATACAGGTGTGTGTCATTACACACAGCTTGGTTCGGGGTTATTTTAGTGAAAGTAACTTCCTCTGGGGACCCAAAGGGACTGAAGGCTACAGGCTCTGAGCCCTGCCAGTGTCGGGGCTGAGGAGGCTGGGCCATGGCGGCCTCACTCTTCCTTGACACCCTGACATACTTTGGTGTCGGGCAAGTGGAAGATGCCCAGTGCCATTGACAGGATAGCAGTCTGAGGACGGTGACATGGCTGACTGACCTGGGTTCGGTCCCACTGCTGCCTTTTAACACTGAATGGAAGCAACCACCCCCTGGAGCTTATCAGGCCTTCCTCTTTTGTACCCATGGAATGATCACAGTGGAAGGTCACACTGAAGGTGGATGAGCTGAATAAATGCAAAGCCATGCTCCCTCCCTGAACAGAGGGCCTGGGCTGCTCACTGGAACACCTGGGGCACAGGGCTGCTTCCAGAAGTGTTCAGACTTGGTCTAACCTGTTGTGGCAGCCACCGTGACCCTCAGGCAGGGCAAGTAGGGAGCGAGGAGGGTGTGCAGGTGTTCCCCAGCCACCAACCCAGTGCTGAGACTCTTGAGAACAGATTTCCATGTGACAAATCCAGCAACCCAAGTTATATGCACTTTTTTCCCATTTCTTAAACACTCAGCAAGGCTGACTTCCTGGCCAGCCTGAGCTGAGCACTATGGACAGGTAAGATCCAGGCTCCACCTTTGGGGACCCTGTAGTCTTGGGGGAGGGGAATGGTACAGGATGACAGCACACTGTGATTGTGGAGATGGGGCATTCCTGATGACCGATGACACTGCTTTGCCCATGCCCTCCTGTTCCGCTTGCCCTGTTGTGGGAACTTGTGTTCCCAGCACCTCCAGGGATGGCTTCGTCTTTCAGGACGGCCAACTGGCAGGAGAGCCACTCTCCTCAGAGCTCTGCAGTCAGGAGAGTCCCTGACCAGTGAGATGAGTTCTCTTCTGCTGGGCTCCTGAGTCAGCTGCAGGGCCAGGGTACATGCTTGGGCCATATTCCTGTCACTGCCTGCACACAGGGGTGGGGCACAGGCCCCTCTGAACTGAGACTGCCTCAGCCTATGTTTTTCACTTCCAAGCCTGTGTACTTTTTGAGGAAATCAGACTGTGGTGTTGGCCACTTCTGGTCTGGGTGCTGCACAGCACAGGACCATCTAGTGCCTTTTGTAAAGGAGCCCGAAGCAAGCTGTCAGAGGCTGCCCATGAACATCAGGCTCATGACTGGATGTATGTGTCCCCTCTCAAGGTTGTACCCGAGCACACCCCGTCAGCACATCTCAGCGCTGGGCATGGCACAAAGGCTCGAGGGGCCACTGAGGCAGCTGGGCACAGGAGTAGCCCTTACAAGCCAGAGGGACTCACCTGGGCCACACATGGGTGTGCATGAAAGGGCTGCAGGATTGGGTTTCACAGGAGACCAATGGGCAAAGCAAGAGCAGACATGGGGTGAACTTTCAGAATGCAGCTTAGTTTTTTTACTTTTTGTGGTACCGGGGATCAAACTCAGGACCTTGCTCTTGCAAGGCAGGCACAGTGCCACTGAGCTAAATCCCTGACCACAGAATGCAGTTTGGAGGAGTGGGGAAAAGAAGAGGGACTAATAGTAACAAAGTTCAGGGGCCAGGGATTTAGCTCAGTGGTTTCGCCACCTGCTGCACAAGTGGAAGGACCCGAGTTCGATCCCCAGTACCAAAAAAAAAAAAAGAGTAACAAAATTCAGCCAGGAGGTACATTACACCTCCCAAAGAGGGGGGCAAGAGCCTTCTTTAGGGTTACCTCAGCTGCCAGGGCTGGCCACACCTGACCCTAGTTCACCAAAGGAGATGAAAACATCAGGTCCAAGCCAGGCCCCAGGCAGGTCAGGCTCAGCCGGGGCCCTCACCTTGTGATCTACCTTGTGATTTTAGGGTCCTGGCTCCATCACAGCACCAGCTGCCCCTAGGTCACAAGCCCTGCCCATTCCCCTTAGGAAATGGCAGTGCTTCTGCTCAGGCACAGGGTTGAGGGCACTTCACAGGTCACCAAACCCCACTGTCCTGGTCACTGCTTCTCAGCTGCCTGCCACGGTGGGGTCCCCAGGTTGCTAAGGGGCAAGTAAGGCTTTGGTGTGGCTCCCTCTTAGGTGGAGGCTGCTCCTGCCCCGCTGTGCATGCCAGCCAGGGCACTCCATTTAGTGCCGCTCACTTCACTCCCACCACACTGGGACGATCGAGCAGTTGTCCTCCAGGTGAGGTCTGGCATTGAGGGTGTGGTGAGGGCAGGAGGCCGCTACAAGCGCAGAGCTAGGTACACAGTGGCATACACACATGATCCTAGCACTTCAGGAGGCCGAGGCAGGAGGACTACAAGTCTGAGCCCAAGCTGGACAACTCAGTGACTTACTGATAGCCTGTCTCAAAGTAAAAGGGCTGGGGATGCAGCTCAGGGCGAAGGCTGTGGTTTCAATCCCCACTACTGAAAAACAAAAAGTAGGCAACAAGTGTACCTGCTTGAAAACCCTGGGGTGCAGAGGCTGTCACCCAGGGGGGCCCTCTGGCAGCCCAGATCACAGAGGCCTGGCCAGGAGGGCGGGAGGCGAGAGGTCCACAGAGCCCGGGCCGATCCCTCCAGTGTAGGCCCAGGCCCAGGCAGTGTTGGTTTGATAGCAAAGGCTCGGGCTCCAGCTCCAGTGAGGGAGGGCAGACCCTCTGCTCCCTGGTCTGGGGTGGCTGCCACCAGGCACCAGGAGGGCTCAGTCGTCCATCTCCTGCTTGATGTTCTCCACGGGCATGGGAAGCTCTGGACTGGGCATCTGGTGGGGCAAGGCCGTGTCCAGGTGCTCTTCCTTCACACACACCGCAATGACTGTGGGGAACAGTGAGGTGAGCCTGGCTTCCCACAGACAGGGGCACCAGGAGGGGGCAGGTGGCCGGGGACTACCCCTCCTCCTGCTCGCCTTCCAGGGGAGCAGAAGAGGAAGTCCAGGGCCCAAGCACACCCAGCCAGCCCGGTGAGCCATGCAGAGATGCAGCCACCTGCTTCCCCCCCCCCCCAGCACACGTGGTGGGTACAGCAGCAGGAGGAGGAGGAGGAGCGGCCGGGCCCTTGGCCTCGGTGCTGCCACAGGCCCAGGGGAGGCTCGCAGGCCCGGTGCTTAAGGAGGGCTTAGTGCCCAGCAAATCCCCCTTCACCTCGGCTCTCTTCCGTGCCCAGGTCAGGACGGAGGGGTCACCTCTGGGCGCAGCGCAGGCCGGCCCTGCCTCCACCCCGGCAGCTCTTACTCTCGTCAGGCCCGGGCTCCGATGCAACCTTCCCTGAAGCCTGCAGCTCGTGCTCCAGCAGGGGCTTCTTGGAGCCCTGTCTGAGGCCCCGGGGCTTGGCTGGTGGGATTCTTTTCCCTTGGAATAAAAATGGAGTCAAACCCAGCTGTGGGGTCCATTCTGTGCGAGGCCTGCTGGGCAGGCAGGAGGTGGCGGCGGGCCAGATGACCTGGCCGTGTGCCCTGAGCCCCTCCAGTAAGGTTCTCTACACCCTGCAGGCGTGGACTCCTGCACTGCAACACATGCGGTCCAGGGCCTCCAGTTCTGCTGCCGCACCCTCAGACCGCCCTGGCCCTGGCCCTGGCCCTGGCCCTGGCCCTGCCCGGTGACGGGACCCTGTTCCAGTCCCATCCTGGGTTGGGACATCCTCCCTGGGTGCAGTGCCATGCTCTAGCTCTGAGGCAGCTCTGCCAACTCCCCTCTTGCCCTCCTCACCCTGCCTCCCAGGTGCTGTGCTGCCACCCATAGGATAGCAGTGGCCCAGGAACCCCATGTGTCTCTTCCTGGCCTCTCCCTTACAGCCCAGAAGCTGCAGGTGCCCAGGGGCTGCACTGCCTTCCAATTCCATGGAGCCATCTCTTCTCCCTCATCCTTACCATGTGAGCATCACCAGGGAGATGACTCCTATCTATGCTCTGGGTCCCCAGAGGCTTGTGGGGCAAGGGCAAGGCAGAGAGGAGGGTGGGCCGATGGACGCCAATGCAGAGGGAGCCAAACAACAGTGGCAGCTCCTGGGCACCAGTGTCTGACTGCCCTGGGACACAACTTACTTTTCTTCCCAAATTGTTTCTTTTTCTTCTTTGTGACCTCTCTGGCCTTCAGAGGTGTGGCCGGTTCTGCGGTTGAAAGATAAGGGGAGCAGAAATGAGCAGGTGCTCTGGGAGAACACCGGGCACCCTGAGACCCAAGTGGGGAGGATGCAGGAGGAGCACCTCGGGCTGGAGGGAAGGAGGGAGAGCCAGAGCAGGGTGGTGAGAGCCTTCTCACCTTATGCCAAGGAGCTGAGCCAGGCACGAGAGGGGCGCAGGTGACAAGGGGAAGAGGGACGGGGGACGAGGGAAGAGGGCTGTGAGCCCAACCTGTGGCCACCGGGGGCTGGAGCTGGTAGCCAGTGAGCTCGCACCAGCCCACAGGGTAGATGTCCGGGGACTCGCAGTCCACCCACTGGTCATACTCGCTGTCCCAGCCGTCGAAATGGATGCTGAGCAGCCGGTGCACCACCCGCTTCACTGTGGCCACACAGATGAGCCGGGGCTCCATCAGATCCACAGCCTCCAGCTTCATGCCCACCTTGAAGCCATGGTTGGGGCAGTCCTGAGGGGGAGGGGGACAGGCTGGCACCAAGGGTGGCGACACTGAGGCCACACGTGCCCAGCGCAGTGCCTGGCACAGTGCCAGGAGTGGACATCCCGGCAGTCCCCTCAGGAGAAAGGGCTGGAACCTCCACCCACAGCACCGTAGACCCCTGCTGCATCTGGCCTCTCACCATGTTGAAGAGTCTCGATGGAGCTGCTTTGGACTTTGTCTTCTCCAAATAGGTCTCCCAGTCGAAAGTCTGGGTCTCATACCCTGCAGGAGCAGAGAATTTCCGTTCAGGAGAGGAGGGGATGCAGGATGCAGGAAGAAGGAAACAGGTTGGGTGAAAGTAGCACACTGCTCATGGGCCACTGCAGCTTGGTCAGGACCCAACCTGGAGTCTCCATGGAAGCCACCTTCCTCCCTCCTCTCCAGGCTGGCACCTGCTGTAGAACTACAGCCCTGATGCACAGGGTGTTCATTGCTCAAAGCCACTAGCAGAAGCTCTGTTCACCAACCACCCAGCACCTATGGTGTAAGGGCTAGTGGTGCCTGTCACCTCTCCCACACTTGAGAACTCCATGTCTACTTGACCAGCACTCTGGGCCTGTGGCCACACCCTGCAAGGCCAGGATCACCTTTAGGGGGCATGAGCTCGATGTCATTCTTCTGGCAGAAGGTGGCTGGAAAGATGGCATGGGAGGAGGCATGGTAGCAGAACCAGTCAGAGCCATCTGTGGAGGGTCCCCCATCCACACAGATCATCAGGTAGCCGTCCAGGAGGACCTAGGAGAGTGTGGAGTGCTTTGTTATCAGCTGTGGGCAGGTAGGACCCGCACATGCAGAGCTCTGCCTTCCGCACAAGCATCCCGAGTCCCCCGCAGCTGAGAGCCCCAGAAAGCCATGCTGGAGGCAGGGCCTGGCTCACCTTGCAGATGGTCGCCACACAGATGTTACCCAGGTTCAGGGGGTCGATGGCCTCCAGCTTCATCCCCTCCTCGAACCATCCACCTTCTGTGTAGACAGCTCGTACCTTACAGGAATGGGACAGGTGGTGAATGCCAGGCAGGCCCAGAGGTCTGGGGAGGGAGGGACGGTCCCTGGGGACACCAGGCTCCTGGACACAGAACGAGTCATGGCCAGGGGGAAAAGCATGCGTAGGCCACACCTCACCTTCTTGAACAGGTAAGGGACGGCGTCACAGTAGATCTTCCGGAAGGTGGGGTGATGGGCCATGTCACTTCGCCTCTCTTTTGAGAGGCAGAGGGTGTGAGAAAGAAAAGGGAGGTGAAGGTAGCTAAGGGCCCCTTGGTGCCACCCCAGAAAGTCAGCTCCCCCAGCAGGCAGGTGGCCCGGCCCGGACATCATCAGGAGCCCCCAGCAGGCCACTCAGCCTCAGACCCAAGTCCTCCTGCACGACACCCAGGCCAGGAGCGGAAGGGCCAAGTCTTGATTTTACCACATACTAGCTGAGCTGAGTGACCATGGTCAGGTGACTCAGCTTCTCTGGGCCTTAGCCCCGGTCCCTCCTCCCTGCCATTCCTGGAGATTTGGGGCCTGGGGTCATGATGGCCTGGGGTGCTGCTGACCTGACATCTTGATGCCGTGACCAACGCGCCGTGACCAACCCACTGGGTGGATCAGGGGGCTCCACATGTGACACCAGAAATCATCATCAGTGTCACCATCCTCATAGAGGAGCCGCAGGCGACCCCCAATCACTGTGTCCACCACAGCCATGCGGGTCCGTGACACCTGGGACTTGTCCACGACTTCCAGCCGCATGCCTTGTCGAAAGGGGTACTTCATGCTCTCCACCATCTGCAACATTGGAACACAGGCCACTGTGGGCCCCAGGCTTCTTGCTCCACCTTCCTGCTCTGTCTGGAGTCAGCGGAGGGCAGGAATGGCGTGGCAGATGTCGGGATGTGACAGGGAGCCCTGTGGCCTGCAGGTTCACCTGGGCCCCGCAAGGTACACAGCACCTTGTCACCAAAAGCCAGGTGACCCAAAACCTGCTTCATACTAAGGAAACTCCAGTGACCACAGAGGACAAGTGATGTCCCCAGAGTCACACAGATCACTGTAGGCTGGTGTCCTGCCTAGGGGCTGCAATCTGAGCCCTCTGACCCAACGGGACAGTGCCCAAGACCCCAAGAGCTGACCCCCAGAGCCATGGTGGTGGGGCACAAGCAGGCAGCAGATTCCTCCTACACGGTGAGTGGTGCCCTCTTGCCTGGGTAGCGCCTTTCCAGCTCAGATCAGCCCTGCTGAGACAGAGCAGTGCTATTTTCACACATGCCAAGGGGGGTGGAGCTCTCCAAGGCCACAGAGCAGTCAGTGTGACAAGCTGACTCTGGCCCATTCCATCTTTGTTTCCTGTGTTGGCTTCCCAGCTCCTCCGGCCCCGCCCATCAAGGCAAAATCCAAAAGCCTTTTTTTCCATGAAGCCTGCTTGATATCTGCTCCTCCTCTGTGACCACAAGGCCAGTGCCTTCATGTGTTCTGGTAACATGTGCCCCGCATTTCCTGCACCCTGCCAGAGCTACAGGGCGACCTGGGGACATGGCCTCCAGCCCTTAGCTCAGAGACCTCAGATGCAGCCCAGGCCACTGCCCAGGAGAGGACCCACACCCGGAGCCCAGCAGAGGCAGGAGAGTCTGCTGCAGACTTGATCCCTCTGATTGGTCATGATGTGACTTTTTGAAAAAAAGAACTTTTAGCTCAAGGACCAGAGTTCGATCCCTGGTACCTAAATAAATACATAAAAAAGAAAAAGAAAGAAAGAAAGAAAAGAAAAGAACAGAACAGAACAGAACTTTTGGGCCGGGGATTTAGCTCAGTGGTTCCACCGCCTGCCTTGTCAAGCACAAGGTCCCGAGTTCAATCTCCAGTACCGAAAAAAAAAAAGAACTTTTTTCTTCAAAGTACTGGGGATTGAACCCAGGGGCACTGTACTGCTGAGCTACATCCCCAGCCCTTTTTATTTTTTTAAATTTTGAGACAAATCTAACTAAACTGCTGTCTGGCCTCGAACTTGCAATCCTCCTGTTTCAACCTCCTGAGTAGCTGAGGTTACAGATGTGTGCAACCAATTAGCAGTTTTTAAAAATTAAAGTCAAATGCCACATAAATCATTCTGAGCCATATTCTTAGTTCAGAACAGCAGCTATTTTATAATTATTTGTGTGCATGATTTTCGTTTCCTCTGCCTCTGCATTTCCTCTGGAGACTCCTGAATGGCAAGGTCTGTGTTTGTTATATTCCCACAGCACCTCATCTATAAGCACTGTACATAATAAAATCTATTGAGTGAACACTCTAGAAGAATGCTACAAGCAAAGGTAAGAATCTTGCAGAGCAGAAGTCTGAGAGAGCAGCATGACTCACACAGCCGGGCCAGGGCTGGGGAGGCTCTACCCACAGACATGCAGAGCCACTGACAACCATCAAAGCAAAGAGGTCTTAGAAAAAACACTGCAACGAGTGGCTGGGTATCAATAAGGGGCTCAGTGGCAGGGCATCTGCATTGAGACCCTGGTTGATCCCTAGCACTTCGAAAAAATAAAAAGTTAGAACCCCAAAGAGCTCCCACCAGACCTTGATGTGGAAATCCACAGGCAGCGTCCGGGAGCCCACCAGCCTCTTCATGAGGTAGCCCTTCCAGTCAGTGAACTTGGCGTGGATGGCTGTGGGACACCAGCAGAATCGTCACTCAGACTCAAAATACCCTCGGCCACCCGAGATCGGCAGAAGAGATGAATAATTTCTCTCTGCCACTTTAGGGCAGCAACTGCCTCATCTCACAAAACCAGGTGCCACAACATGGATCTGCCCAGGGGCTGCTGGGATGGAGAAAGGAGGAAGGAAGGGGGCTGGCAGGTTTGGTTCTGTCCAACCTGAGCCCAGGGCCCGCCCTACCAAGGGCCCTAAGGGACGGGGAAAGTTCTCGCCAACTCACTCCGAGGGGGCACCAGGATCTTGCTGTTGATGGCACACCAGCCGATAGGGTGGACATCCACGGTGCCCAGGTTGCACCAGAAGTCATGGCTGGCATCATTTTCAAAGCCTTCATACCGGAGCAGCACCCGATACCCTGAAAGGAAGGCCCAGGGCACCATGAGGGAGGATGGGCTGGAAGGGGGTCTCCAGCCTGAGTAAGACTTCTCACCTCCATTCCACGAACTCCTAGGCAAAACAAATTCATGCCACTTACCTGGCAGGCATTATGGCATGGGGTGTTAATTTCCATACCCTCTGGAACAAACCCAAGAAACTAGCATTTCCCAGCCTATCCAGCTCCACAGCCCCCTTGAAGGTAGGGCGATGAGTGGGGTTTTGTTTGATTTATGAATCCAGTGTCTGCTGATAACACTGCCCACCTGCAAAAGATGTCACTGCACACGTTCTAGTCTGGCACTGGCCGAAGGGAGACTCACCTGCCGCCTGGATGACAGAGGCGATCCAGTACACCCGGCTGGGGAGCACGGCGTCACTGTTGAGCACCTCCACCTTCATCCCCTTCATGACATCTTCCCACTGGTCATAGAGTGGCACCTGTGTGGTGAAAAGCACATTCAGGGGCATGAGCTGCCTGGCTGGCAGGGAGAGTGGTGCCTCAGGTGCGAGTCACCGTGTGCCTCTTTGCACTTCAACTTTCACCATCATCCAATGCGCACAAAAAGCCAGGCCTGTACCAGGGACGAAGAGATGGCCACTGTTTTTGAAGAGCTGGGCCCAGAGCATGGGGACAGCCAAGTCGGTGGGTGGAGGCTGAGTCACAGAGCTGAATTCTGATCATTACAGGACTAGCTCCTCCCCACTTCCTAGTGGCCCCTGTGTGCCAGTCATTTTCCTGGCACAAAGACCATCATGTTTGTCACTCAACCTGGATGGTAAGTGTGACAACACCCTCGTTTCTCAATGCTGAGACACAATACTCAGGAGAGGTGTGATTGGCAGAAGGGCCTGGGCGGAGCAAAGCCGCTTCATTCATGGCACCTAAGAAGCAGAGCAGGGAAAGAGCGCCAGAGAGGAATGCAAGAGGGACCATTTATAGCGCCCAAAGCCACGCCTCCAGAACCCACCCAGACACACTCAGGAGTGTGCTTCACTAATCTGCTAGGCAGTTCCTAATCCACAGGATTAGTAGTCACAGACAGGGCCTCACTAAATTGCTAAACTGCCCAGGCTGGGCTCAAACCTGTGATCCTCCTGCCTCAACCTCCTGAGTTCTGGGATTATAGGTGTGCACCACTGCACCTGGCCAGTATTAAATTCTTGACCTCAAGTCCATCCCACCAGGGCTTCACCCTTCTGGCTTCTCAGTGGTAAGCAGCAGGGAGCCTCCTGCAGAGGTTGGCTGCAGGAGCCATCCACACCTGCCACCTGGGGACCAAGGGATCCAGGCCAATACAGAGGCACCTTGCTCTCTATGAGAAACATTATGAACGGGAGAAAGGGAGAGGGCTTTGGAGTTGGGAAGGCCTGAAACACAAGGAGGGTGGGAAGGAGAGGGAGAGAAAGAGACAGACAGAGACAGAGAAAGGGAAGGATAGATCCTCAAACATCAAGTAGCACAGGTCCATTACATAAACAAGTGAAGGAGGGGCTTTGGAGAGGAGGCACAGCTGAGCATGATGCTGCACTCTCCACAGCTGTTTTTGGGAGGATCTACAGGAAGTGGACACAGAGGTAAAATGGAGCAAGCAGGAAGGCCGCTGCTCTCTCCACAGTGCCAGCCCAGCCTGCAGGCAGCAGCCCTCCTGAAGAAGGCGGGAGCACCAGACACAGCAGACCTGAGCGAGCCATCCCTGTCCCTGGCTGTCCATCCCCCTCTCCCTGCTGGGCACTCACGTGTTTAAAGCAGCTGACAGGCGCAGCCTTGTAGCTGTGATCCTTCAGGAACTTCCCCCAGTCAAAACCCAGGACCAGAGCTGCAGGGCAGAAAGAGCAAGAGTCCAGGCTGGGGGTCTATGCAGCAGCCCCACAAGGAGCTGCACCCTGAGGAGCCTGTGGGGTGCAGAAGTGGGTCCCTTTCCCTAGCCTAGCAGTCCCTCTCTGACATTCTGCCCCATGGCCCCTCTCCTGCCACCATACCTGCCCCGCCAGTGGTCATCGGGATGGTGAAGACTGAACCTAAAGAGTGCCAGATCCTCAGGTGTAGAGGAACCTTCAGGAAACATCCCCCTCTTCTTCCCCCAGAGAAAGTGAAATTCAGCGTCCCTCGCTTAAATCCCTCAGCCCTCCTTCCTGGCCCCACTGACCACACCCCATGAAGGTGGGAGGAGGGCACACTTAGGTCCCTGCGCCCCATGCCTCCAGAGCAATTTCAGTCAGAAGCTCAGGCCAACTACCACAGGGCTGCTCTGGGCCTACATTCAGGGGAGAAAGGTCCCTTTCGCTATCCTCCCAGCTGCTCCACACCCACTTCAAACCAGGCCTGGGCCTCAGGTGCCGGGGGTAGACAGGCCACTGGGATAAAGCAAACAGAAGTGGAAAGAGGCCAATTCTTGGCTTTTGGACGCCCAAAGATAGGGTTTTGGTAACTCAAGGCTGACAGGCAGGATACAAGCCCCAGAGAGCCCTGCGGGGCACCGTTTAGCAGGGCACCTTTTCAGTTCTCTCCTAGGGAAGGGTGCCCCGCCTGGCCCCCACCCCAGGCCTCTGCTGTCTCACCATCTTGTCCTGTTGGTGTCCCATCTGCCAGCTGTCCCGTCCCTTGGGAGTGGAGGAAGGCTCCAATTTTAGCGGACCAGGCCGCCTTGTGCAGGACTTTGGCTTTCTTGGTGGGTGGTTTTCCCTGGAGAGAGGAGATCAGAGGGTGTGGCCTGCTGGCTGGTTCTGGGTGGTTGGGTTCAGACCCTGGCCTTGGTCCAGTTACTCCACCTCTTAGGGGCTTGTTTCTTCTGTGAGACTGGATGATGACCCTAACAACACTCAACTCAGAGGCTGGCTGTGGGATGGAATGGGGCAGCGACAGCTGCAGAGCAAGGAGGGACAGGCAGCATCTCTCAGGCTTCCATTTCCCCAAGAGCCTCCCCCTTTTCTGTTTCCACCCTCCCGGCTTCTGCAGACCACAGTGCCACAGAGGGGCCAGAAACTCTCTGATCTAAGAGGCCACATTTGTGAATGTTCTTGAGAGATGTCCACAGCCGCCACCAGGGGCTCAAAGAGGACATCCCTTAAGGGATGGGTTCTGATATGGTCTGGACTTTGTAACTTAAGCATTGATGAGAAAGGCCAAGAATTTAAAGAGATCAGTGAAACAGAAGTGTGGGTTTCAATCCCAGGCAGACGTAGTCACAATTTTTAATTATATAACTGAGTAAGTTACTAAAATTTAAAACATTTTTAAGCTTTTAAAATATTAAAAAAAATTTTTTGGGGGGGGGCCGGGGATTTAGCTCAGTGGTTCTGCTGCCTGCCTTGCAAGCACAAGGACCTGAGTTCGATCCCTGGTATCAAAAAAAAAAAAGAAAAAGAAAAAAACTTTTTTTTTTGTCTGTTTGAGACAGGGTCTATGTATCCAAGGCTGGCCTCAAACTCTCTTGTGATCCTCCTGCCCCAGCTGAGTGCTAGGATTACAGATGTGTGCCACCATGCCAGCTCTAAAATAGGAACATTTTAAAATGCCTTTTTTGGTGGTGGTGGTGGTGGTACTGGGGATGCAACCCAGGGCCTTCTTCATGCTAGGCAAATGCTCTACCTCTGAGCTACATCCCTTAAATCCTTTCTTTTTCAATACTGGGGACTGAACCTAGGGCTTTCACATTGAGCTACATCCCCAGCAACCTGTTTTGTTTGAGACAGGGTCTCACTATGTAGTCCAGGCTGGCCTTGAACTCACAGCAATCCTCCTGCCTCAGCCTCCCAAGTGCTGGAATTACAGGTGTGTGCCCCTATGCCCGGCCCCCGTGATTTTAAATTTGGGAGGGGGGGTTTGAGACAGGTTCTATGTAGTTCAGGATGGCCCTGAACTCACTATGTAGCTCAGGCTGGCCTCGAACTCTTGGCAATCCCCCTGCCTCAGCTTCCCAAGTGCTGAGATTACAGGCATGCACCACCATACCTGGCTTGCTTTTAAATTTTTTTTTTACTTGATGTAAATTACACAAATTTTATTATTTTTTAAAGTAATCATTTTACTTAATCCATATAAAACTCATAAACTAGATTCTGATTTTTTGTAAAATATTATAAGACCAAGTTTAGATAACCTGTACTATAGGTATATAAATTAACTTACTTATTTTAAAATATGGCACAGTTTTAAAGTATATCTAGGGTTAGTTTTGAAGTCTTACATTCTGTAGCATCTATAAATAGTCCACAGCGAAGAAAGTATACCATCCTCTAAAGGCAAGTGCAATCAAAGCTCCCACTAAGCTGAAACTAAAGTACAGCTCTCCATTTCTTGTCAGGGTCCATGTTGCTAAATATTTTTCCTTCTTTTTCTAGTTTTTTCAAATGAAGGAAAAGATTACATTCAGCCATTTTATGTAAATTCTCAGGAACATTCTTGTAAAGAATCATTACAAGCTCTGTTTTTGTAAATGATTTTTCAAAATTGTCATGAATGAATGTACGAATTTGTTGTTCTCAGTAACTTCCGTGAGAAACATATTATTGAATTGTAGCTTCTGCATTTTGGATTACTGGGCCGTGTCCTGGATATATAATACCAGCTTTGACTTTCAATAACAGGTTTAGGAAGTTCATATAATCAGAAGTCTTCAAATATAGTTGTTCCTTCCCCTAGGATGCAATCCCCAGAAAAAATGGCATTTTCTTCTAATTGTAGAGCCATATGATCATCACTGTGGCCAGGTGTGTATATAACTCATGACTGATGCTTTTACAAATATCTCCTGTGCCTCCAGAATGATCGGGATGCCAATGAGTCACTAGGACTTCCTGGATTTCTTTGTTAAATTCAACCAGAGCTTGCTTTAAACAGCTGACCTACTCCAGAACTGATGTTTCTCCAGTGTCAGTGAGGGTTCTCCTGGAGCTGGTCCCCACCAAGTGGGTGGTGGTGCCTCGCGGGGTCACAGGACCAGGATTACAGCCTGAAACGCGCACCACACCACAGGACAGCCTTTCAATGTCTGCTTTTAACTTTCAAGACAGGATCTTGCTAAATTGCCCAGGCTGAGCTCAAGCTTGTCAGCCTTTTGCCTCAGCCTGCAAGAGTGCTGGGACTACAGGCATCCACCACCGGCTCCCTAAATCCCCTTTTATGTGAATCAGCGGGTGAGGAATGGCAAGCCCTAAGCACATACCCCGAACATCAGGAAGACCCTGGAGAAAGAGAGGCTTCGTGACTAAAATCCACAAAGAGAGGGGAGCAATGGGACCTGGCTCACAATGCCAACACAAAGGTATGAAGCCCTAGGCAGAAAGATCTGATGCACAGAAACTCATCAACGTCACAGCAGTGTTCTCAGAATTTGCTGCATGTTAGAACCAGCTGGGAGCACTTTAAAATCCCCACGTCCATCCCGATTCCATCAGAAGGTCTGGGGTCAGGAGGATGCAAGCAGCAGTGTTTTTTAACTTTGCCAGGTGATCCTAACATGCAGGCAGGTTTGAGGACCAGGGCTGTGGACGGCAGAAACACCAGAAGGCGAGGCCCAAATTCGGCTCCAGCCAAGGCTCCGCTGAACTCTTCCTACAGAGCCACGCTGGACGCATTCCAACCCCACGTCCCTCAGCACGCTTCCTCAACTTGTGGGCTCAATGGCACATGGCTGAGATACGTTTCTTTATCTCCCAAAATTCCACACATGTAGATTAGGCGAGGTTATCTAGGTGGCTGCCTGTGATGTGGAGTCAGAGACGAGGCACTGGCTTCTTACGGCCACCAGGGCCCTGATCCTCATACCTGGTTCCCAGCTTTCTTTCAAGACTATTACAAAGATGCAGTGAAGACCAAGGTGTCAGACTCCCCCAAGGTAGGAGCTGTTGTTTAAAACTTAATGAGATTGTGGGGCATGATGGTGGGGAGTAAGGGAGGCTCCAGGAATCCACAATTAAGCTCCAGGGTTTCTTGTTCCATAAAGTTTGAGAGCACACTAAATGCCAGGAAATGTACAACCTCAGATGGCCACGAATAAGGAACACCACAAGCCCACCAGGCCCTTGGTGGTTCCTGTCTCGGCACCCAGGGCTGTGGAAGTTGTAAATGGCTGCTTCTCACCTGTAATCTAGCCAGGATGCTGGCTTTCTTGGAGTTGGAGGAGTAGCTCCGCGAACAGGAGACACTGCAGAACCTCTTGGTCTTGGAGAAGAAGGCTTCCCTCGTGCCCACGATACCACACATCTCACAGACAGCTGGAAGAGAGCTTAGCGTGTGACTCACCCGATAGGGTCACCTCAAACTCTATGGATTGATGGGCCCTTCAAAATCTGGGCCACTGTGTTAACCAGTGAGCACCAGCCCCACTAAGGCTGATATAACTGGAATAGGAGGAGAAGGTATTGTGCACATTTTGCCTCTTTTCAAGACAGGATCTCATTAGGTAGCCCAAGCTGGCCTTGAACTTGTGATACTCCTGCTTCAGCCTCTTGAGTAGCTGGGTCCACAGGTGCGCACCATCATACCCTGCCTGCCATGTACCTCTCAATCTGTCTCACTCACACTATGCTGCTTGGCATCCCTTGGTTGTTGTCAACAGTGGGGCTAAGACAAACCCATGAGGATGACTGCGGAACCAGGCAGGTGTTGGCAAGTTTTCAAAAGAGGAAAATGAGAAGAAAAAAACATAAGCAAGGAGAAAAAGTGTCAAGGCACTTAACCTCTATGGCTGTATTTTCTCATCTAAATAGTAAGGAGACTGAAGTAGTTCTGAGGTTCAACCATGACTTCACATTGGAATCACCTGAGAAGCCTTACAAACTGCTGGAGCCTGAGAGTCTAATGAATTGGTCAGTATGGGACACAGGCATCTGTAGTTTGTTCCAATATTCCCAGGTGATTCCTTCTAGTCTCCTGGACTTGCTGGTCTCCAATGATTCCTTCTAGTGCTAAAGGTCTGAGATTATAAGAGAAGGATAGATACAAGAAGATAGGAGGGGGAAAGATAAAGAGCAGAAAGGAAAAGAAGACAGATGAATGGGAAGGAAAGAAGATTCAACTGGCAAAGAATATGATTACTCTTGTAAATAGTAAATAAAATAGTAAATAAAACTCCCCTAGCCCCAGCTTACTTCTTGTCCCTTCTGGAAAAATACTCTTGACACTTTGCTTTCTATCTTCTCTACATCCAGACTTAGAAATCCTCCGCCTACTCACACAAATGTAAAAGCAGCACCATGTTACTGACTGGCATCTAATATGTGCTGAATATCAGTTGTATGAAAGAATGAATGAAATCACAAATTGAAGCCAAATTACAACACAGGAAATGGTCCCTGTGGCCAGGTTTTTAGACATCTGATCCCTAAGACATGAGATCAAGCAGTGGTTTACATCTGGATGGCCTGTGCCCATCCCCTTCTTCCTCCAAAGCCTCCCGACTCCTCCCCATCTCCCAGGACACTGTGAAGGCACCTGGCTCAGAACCACTGCCATCCATGGAGCGGGGAGTCCCAGGGCTGAGCAAATGCAGTGGGGAGGTGGGCAGCTCCCCTGCTTCCCGATCCTCATTTTCTGCTTCACTCGATTCTTCCAGATAGGAGCTGCTCTCACTGCCCACACTGCTGTTATAACTCCGGAAACTGTCGTAGCCACCGAACAGCTCTAGGTCATCATCTTCCACTTCTTCCTCCATTGGTTCTAATGGGGGAGTCTCCTAGTGAAGAATGACACAGACCAGGCAGAAGCAGAATGATTGGCTCAGTGTATGGGCAGAGGATGCTACTGACCTTCTTTCTGGTGCTTTGTCAAGTCAGCCCTTTTGGGAGCCTTCCAAACAGCCCTTTTGGCAAATACCAGGATGATTCTCTACGTATTTCTCCATCACAACTCAACAGAAGAACATAAGACAGAAACATGTGTGAGAAACTAATCAGGCTCTTCTGTGGATTTACAAATAATGGTGTTTTAATATGGATGAAATAGAATACAGCTGCTCCTTGACTTTCAGAGGAGTTACATCCTGAGAAACCCATCACAGGTTAAAAATATTGTAAGTTGAAGATGCATTTAGCAAGCATAGCTTAGCAACACAGAACACTGTAGAGTATTGGGCCATTTCCACATGATCATATGGCTGACTGGGTGCCAAAACGCCCAACATCACAAGACAGAATTATGTTTCGTATTGGTAGCTGGGGATCAGATCAAAATTAAAGATTCAAAGAACCATTTCTACTGAATGAATGTTGCTTTCACACCATTGTAGTAAAAAAACTGTCATTTGCGGACCTGAAGTCTGTACAATGTGAAAATATACTAAGTACTTCACAGTGACTTTCTGGGGTAGGAGATATACATTAGAGTCATTCTTCCCTGTTCGCCATATGTACACCAAAATAACCTCACCTCAAAAACAATTTAAGTGAGGGCCGGGGCTTTAGCTCAGTGGCACCGTGACTGCTGTGCAAACACAAGGTCCTGAGTTGAATCCCTGGTACCAAAAAACAAAACAAAACAAAAAACAACCCCCCCCACACAATTTAAGTCAGAGAAAAGTTAATATGAGACCCAGACTGTCCCAAGGAAGATTTAAGCGGCAGATGGCACACAGATAGCTATGGCATGGTGGTACATATGTACCACAACTTCGGGTTCAGTTATCATCCTAACTAGCTATATGCGTCCTTGGCCAAGTCAAAAAACCTCTGGAAGCCTTGATTTTCTCATCCATGGAATAAGACAAATTTTGGCTCACAGGATGTGATGTGAGATATTGTATATAAATCAGCTTGGTAGAAAAGGCTCAGTGAAGCAAGGTAAATTGTGTGAGGCTCTGGGCCAGGGCTCAAATACCATCTCTAGTGATTACTAGCTGTAGGACCTGTGCCTCATTTCCACAAGATGAGGATAATACCATTAATTTAATAGGACTTGAGGGAGAAGAGATGGTACAAGTAAGAATAGTATGTGCACATAGTGAATGCTCAATAAATAGTAATTATTATTGGCTAAAAGCATGGTGTCTCAAATCCTGTTTGCCTGGATTTGAGCACCACTGGTTCTACAATTTAACTGAAAATTTTTGGTTTTGTTTTGCTGTTTTGAGACAGGGTCTATGTAGCCCAGGCTGGCTTTGAACTCAAGGCGATCCTCCCACCCCAGCCTCTCGAGTGCTGGGATTACAGGCTACGGGCAAGTGCTAACACACCTGGCTTAACTGAGATTTTGTGCATATTTAGCCTTGGGGCTCTCAATTTCATCATCTATACAATGGAGACAATAACAAGCCTTCTTTAGGATTAAGACTGAGATATGAAAAGCCGAATTCCATTTTCAGCGGTTGGCAACAGCTCTGAAAGAGTGCTATTATTCTTATTTTCCACTTTATCATTCTCCTCCACCCTTGTAGTTTTCGAGCCAGTCTACTTAATATTTGCGACTATACAGGCAAATATGTTAGAAAGGAAACCAAGTTCAAATACACAAGTGCCCAGAGTACACATGATTAACGGGTGGGCGGGTTTGCAGGCCGCTGTAGAAGAAGTGGAAACGCAGAACGACTAAGGGTTTGGAGGCTGGCGACTGTGTGCCCTCCTCCTCCACACTTCAGCCGCGTGAACTTCCCGGGGATCCACTCCCTCTAGAGCCTCCGCTCCCTCACCGTAAGTACCAAGCCGTGTCTCAGGAGGGCTCCGGCCCTGGGAGCGGAACAGTATTAATCCATCACCTCCCTTTACTCCCTCCCGCATGTGACAGGCCTCGAAACCTCTAAGGAATAGGATCACGAGACAGGCAAAACAAAGACCCAGGAGCCCACCGATCTGAAGCCAGCTTCCCTTCCCCACGCGAGGGAGGCTCTTCCTCCCCGAACTGCTTGCCTGACGTGAACCCCGCAGGAAGCAGAAAGCAACGCCGATCGCCCCTGGCCGTGTTTTAAGATCACTACCTCAGTTTACCAATCCCTTCCACCCTCCAGGCGTCGTTAAGAAGCCTAAAGACGGGTCCACAGAGCGAGGCTCTCGGGGTTCCCTTTTCTAGCTGTGTTAAGTCCGCCTCCTCTCACCTCGGTGGTCTGGGGCTTCTCCATGAGACCTTACTCAGTTTCCTCAACCGTCACCAGGTGCGGGAAGCCATATTGGCCTCGCCGCTCTGCCCGAGCGTCCTCATTGGTCATTTGCCTGATCCGAGGACCAATCAAGCTGCAGGAAAGAGGAAAAGCCGGTTCCGCGTTGGTTCGCGCTGTTCCTCCCCCGGAGGCTGGGAAGCCGCGGGTCTTTGTGTGACTTGTAGTTACTGCCCGGGTACGCGTGGGGCGGAGGCGGGGAGTTGCCACGGAAACTGGGAAATTCTGCACCTGCGCTCTTGGTGCTATTATTATACGGTGCTCCTTATCCCTACCATATTCTGTATTAAACACTTACTCAGCACGTACCGAGTACATCTCCAGGCCCCAAGAATAACTTCGCACCTCCTCACTGAGAAATTTAAGGAGGGCTTGCGCCGGAGAATCAGTTCAGACAGAAACTGGAATACGTATATGCTCAAAGCTAAAACTGTGCTGGGCGTGGCCCCTGCAATCCTAGCATTCAGGAGGCTGAGACAGGAGGATCGCTGCAAGTTTGAAGCCTTCCTGGACGGCATAGTGAGTTCAAGACCAGTCTGAACTACATAGCGAAACCCTGTCTCAAACAACAACAACAACAAAAATTTTAAAAAGCCAAAATTATCCCCCTCTCAAAACCCTCAACACTATCATCACTATTGCATAACCAAAACCTCGAGTATAAGGCTCTCCACCTCATCGTGTTTGGATTTCCCACAACCGCTGTACAGCTCAAATCCAGACATCCGGCCATCCTTTTAGTTAAAGAGGAAACCCTGGTTTTTCAGATTTGGGTGCTTTCCAGGATCATACAGGATTGAAATTTAGAATTTCAGCTGGAAATGTGACTCAGTGGTAGAGTGTTTGCATAGAATGTGCAAGGCCCTGGGTTCAAGCCTCACTGACATGCACAAATTAGGATTTACTCCAAATTCCTTCTCTATGCTATGTCCCAGTTAATTGAGAATCTCAATGTAATAAATGGAGGCTGACTGAATCTATTCCTAAATTTGAGATCCATGGATAGATGTACAAGTCTTTCTTTCTTTCACTACTTCTACCTTAAACACTTGTGTCCCTGTGGTCAGCAAGTGCTGGTTCAGGTGAGGCGTGTAATTCCCGCACCAAGGAGGCTGAGGTTGTTCAGGCCAGACAGGGCTAGATATTGACACCTTGCTTCAGAATTTGCAGTTCCGGGCACTCTAAATAGTAGCGATCATCATCCTGTTAGATGCTAGTGTGGGAACACCCTGCCAACAAGAATGACATTTATGAGTTGCTTATTCTTTTTTTTTTTTTCTACTTTTTTGAGACAGAATCTCAGTGTGTAGTCCAGGCTGGCTTCAAATTTGTGGCAATCATGCCTCAGCCTCCCAAGTGCTAGGATTACAAGTGTGCTCCAACACACCTGGCATTATTAATACTTTAAAGTGCATAGCAGGGGATGGTAGGGGATGCCTATAATCCCAGTACTCAGGGAGGCAAAGGCAAGAGGATCTTGAGTTCAAGGCCAGCCTATGCTATGTGACAAGACCTTGCCTCAAGAAGCCTAAATAAATAAATGTGCAACCAGGAATCTCACAGGCAAAGAATGTGCTGCTAGTGACAAACCATCTTATTCATTGAATATTTATGTGGTGCCACCTTTGTGCCAGGCACTGGTGTGCTGGAGATCATACCCAGGGCCTCAATCATGCTAAGCAATATCTCTAACACTAACTGAATAGAAATCCTCAGCCCGAATAGAAAGCCTTTGAAAGTTTTAAACAGGGAAGTGAGAAGATTCGACATATGTATTAAATGATCACTTTCTGGCTGTGAGGGGAGAATACATTGAGGTGGATCAAGAGAAGCAGCAATAGCTGTGTGAGTGTGTGTGTGTGTGTGTGTGTGTGTGTGTGCGCGTGTGTGTGTGCGCTTGACTGTAATCCCTGGGAGGCTGAGGCAGGAGGATTGAAAGTTTGAGTCCAGACTAGGGCCTGGGTTTATTCGAGGGAGGGAGGGAGGGAGGGAGAGAGAGAGAGAGAGAGAGAGGGAGAGAGAGAGAGAGAGAGAGAGAGAGCGCCAGACCACGGAGACAGTGCTTGTAATGATCCAGTTAAATGATTATGGTAGCTTAGCCAGAGTAGAAGCAGGAGGCATACAAAAAAGTGGAAAGATTTGAGAATTATTTGAGTAATCATGTGGGGTGGGTTTGAGAGTGAATGAGTCCTTCTGGGCTTGGTAGCACACACCTGTACTCCCAGGACTCGGGAGGCTGAGGCAGGAGGATAGTCACAAGTTCAAAGCCAGCCTGGGCTACATAGTGAGTCCAAGGCCAGCTTGAGCTACATAGTAAGTCCCCATCTCAAGCAAACAAATGAAAAAAGCCTGAATGAGTCTTGAAATCCATCTTCTCTGTGATGTATTACTTTTCACACTAGTACAAACAACTATATCAAAAGCATGAGAAAGTAGATACTGGGCCAGGGATTTAGCTCAGTGGTTCCGCCACCTGCCTTGCAAGCACAAGGTCTGGAGTTTGATCCCCAGTACCAAAAAAAAAAAAGAAAGAAAGAAAAAGAAAGTAGATACTGAGGTTTCCAGTATCACAGTTGGAAAGCACAAGGCTTTGGGAGAAGGAAAGAAACAGGGAGGGGAAAAAAAAAAAGAAAGAAAGAACCAGAGGAGACACCCCAGTGACAGCAGCCATTAACCTGAGTTGAAATGGCTGTTAGGAATCCAGCTGAACCATCTTACATCTTATTAACACTGGTTGCTTAGCAACAGTGGCCAGTGCGCTAAAGCTCTTGGGTCTGGGGCTCAGGCTGCAGCAAAAGGCGCTTTCTATTGTTCCAAGTCATCCCTTCTTCTCATGGACTCCATGCCCTCTCTTTTCAGACCCTTCCCTCTGTGAGTCACTGACACTCCTGGGATGCTTTCGAGGTGGGGGCGTTGGCACTGGGGATTGAATCCAAGGAATGCTAAGCTATATCTCCAGCCCTTTTTACTGGTAGCCCTTTTTATTTTGAGACAAGGTTTTGATAAGCTGCCCAGGCTGTCCTCAAACTTGCAATCCCACTGACACAGCTTCCTGAGAACCTGGGATTATTGGCCTGCACCCGGCTGGCTGAGTCATCCTGAGTTATTCCACTCAGCTTGTTTTTCACTTGTTAAGTGGGGATGTTATGGAGGATGCTGTATGCTAAATCAGCAAAGCACCTGGAATTCTGTTGGCTCCCATCAATCCCTTCCATTATCCAGGCATCACACACAGCACATTTGAAGTCTTGGCCAGGTCAGTCCTGACCCTCTGTCCAGCACAGGCTCTCAATACTGCCTTTCATGAGGTCGAGCGCAGCGCACCTGCAGCTGCCCCCACCAGGGTCTGGTTCTTTGCTGTTCTGGGCTGAGCTCCCCCTCACCTCTCTGCCCCACCCCACCAGCTCCCTCCAGGCACAGCTTCCCTGCTCTGCTCTCCTGAACCCTTCCCCAACCAACCCCCCACCCCCAGCCAGCTTTCTCCCAGGCCTCCTGCATCCTTGTCACTCAGAGCTTGCTCTGTCTTGCTTGCACTTGTCACTTGCTCTTTGTCTTCCTTAAGCGTCATTCTGTTAGACCTGGCTGCCTTGAGGCCCAGCTGGCAGCTCCAGGGCAGGGCTGCATCCTGTTCCAGTGCTGTCCTGCAGGCCTGGCATGGACCTGTGCTCTCTGTGTTGCCCTGAGAACAAGGGCCAGGCAGGCGGGCAGGTGATGCCAATGCCACTGGTAGCAGTGCTCTTGTGCTGAACCCTGCTCACAGTCTCTGCAGTGTTCACACTGTGCTCACACTCAGTACACACTGCTCTCGTGAGCTCATCTCAGCTGTCTAGAATTTATCTGCACACATTTTCCTTCCCCGGATCCCTCAGGTGACAGTTAGTGTACCGGGGAGAGGAGCGCACTGTCCTCACCTTAGTGCTGGTTTGCAAGGAGCCTCTTGTGACTGGGCAGGATGACAGTCCAGGGTACGCCCTGGCCTCCCTGGGAACTGAGGGTGATCAGAGCTTGATGTCACTCAGAGGAGCACAGAGCAAGGTCCTGTGTCAAGGTGTGAAATGGCTGATGTGGCTTCCACCTTGACATCTGGGTGGTACTTGGAGAACTCGACTTGGGTTTCCCTGAACTTGGGACAAATTCACCTAAGTGCATTTGGGAATTGATTACATGCAACAGTTAACGTGGCTGTGGGCTGTTTCCTTTTTCCTCAGACTCCTAAGCAAGAAGCTTTTACACCAGCATTGTCTGGGACCAAGATGCACCCCGAAGAAGTGAGTCAAAGCCTCGGTGTGTCTCACACAGTTTATTCACAACCGGTAATAAGAAATCAAACTGGACAGGCTATACAGCAATCCAAAGCTTATTATCTATAAGTAATCAACTTTAATTGCAAGATTTACAACAGTTGACAGCTTTTGCTATTTTCAAGTTTTACAGAAAGCGAGATACTGTGTTTGGGGTTGGGGGCAGGAGGAGGAAGGGAAACAAGAAACCCCAGGGAGACTACACATTGGAATCATCCCTTTGGATGACTTTTTCATTTTTTTCCTGTATAACAAAATGTTTAAGAAACCACGACTTATAATACATCAATTTGGCAGTTGCTTCTATTTTTAAAAAGTAATTTTCCTCTCTACATGCACAAATAATTTTAATACTTGGAAGTTTTACGTTCAGACATATAGAAAATTTCCTGGAGCACAAAAATTGACTTGGGGAGGAAAGGGGAAATTTTTTTCCTCTGACCATCACACCAAAAATTTTTTTAAAAATGAGTATTTTAGCACTCAGAGGGAGAAACTGCCATTTTAATGATTATGTATGTGGAATATATATTTTTAAGTAACATTAACCCCTGCTGAACTTTGGTTTTAGAATTTTAAAAAATTCTTCCATAAAATGAAAAAAATAAGCAAAAGTTTCCACCTTCTGAACCAGTAAATAATTACTATTGATATTACATATTCTCCTTAATTAAAAAAAACTAGGAAAACCTACTGGAGGTGCAAGGCAGGAGCATATGGGGGCTTCAGACTTCAGCCTCCTCCCAGGGCACACCACACACACACATACACACACATACACACACACACGTACGTACATACGTACGTACGGGGGGGAAAACGGCTGGGGAAGCAGCCAGAACAAAAATAAATTCCTAGTATTCTATCATCCCTCAGGCTCACCTGGCGTATTTGCTTTAAACCGCAAATGGCACTGGGCATAGTGGCATGCCTGAATCCCAGCACTCTGGGAGGCCGAGGGAGGACAATCATGAGTTCGAGCCCAGCTTGGGCAACTTCTCAGTGACTGAGACCTGGCTACAAAACATAACTAGGCTCGGGATGTAGCTCAGTGCAAAGGCCCTGGGTTCATCCCCCAATACTGCAAATGAAATGAGAACAAATCAAAAACAACCTCCACAAATGACTACTGCAGTTCTTAGGTATTCTAAGGAAAAACTGTTTCATAGGCTAAGAAAGATTCCAAAAAACTGCATTCAGTTCAAAAAGTCTTAAGAGAAAATATTTTTTTCTGCTCCCAAAATACTACCAGGTGTCTGGTATATTTTGTGAGCGATCTCAATTCAATCTGAGCTATCAGTGCTGAGTCCCAGGTCCATGGTGCTTGCACCATGGAGGTCTGCCATGGGTGGATGGCTAGCAAGCTGAGAGCATCGGAGTCTGGTCTGGTCTGGCTAAATGCCCTTGTTCCATGGGGTTGGCGGCCTGGGGAGTAGCCAAACCAGGATATGGGGACCTGGTCTGTGGGGAAACATGGTGCGGAGAAGGCTGGAGTTATGTCCTCAGGGTTGGGGACAAGATGGAGAAGAGGGCATCTGGAACTGTGGCCACGAGAAGGGATGAGCAGGAGGGGAACACACTTGATGAGAACTGGGGATCAACTTGGAGGTGCGGGGACTCGGCCTGGCTTGGGAGCATGTGCGGCTGAGGGGTCACAGGGCTGGGCTGAGGGGACTCCATCTGGTGCTGGAGGAGTCACTGCTGACAGGCCAGCAGACTGGCTCTTGCCTCCATTCCCAAGGCCTGGGGCAGATGTCCCAGCTATCCCACATTTCCTTATTGCAACTGCTGCATGTGATGCTATGTCTGCTGCTGCTGTCACATCATCTGCTGTTGTCTCAATTATGTCCCAGAACTGGGAAGACACGTGACTATGATTCATGTTCATTGGAAGGGCCTGGAGGCTCATCCCTCATGGGTGCTGGAGTTGCTGCTGAGCCAGGCCAGGCCTCTGCATGCCTGCCTGCACAGGATTCATGTTCTGCATGGCTGGACTGGACGCCCTGTGCCCTGGCATGGCTGGTGGCTGCAGCCCGGGCTGTCCCTGGGGCCATGCCAGGGTGCCCAGTGAGAGGCTGGGTTAGAGTTGGCATATGTGGATCCCACTGTTTCAGGAATGTAGCCAACAGCTTGGGGTGGGCACAAGGGTTGCTGCTGTAGGGGACAGCTGGGAGGCCCGAGTCCACAGGTTTTGTAAGGCTTGTTGAGACACAGTGCCTGGTTTGAGTGGGTTCACACCTACCTGGCCCGATCCTGGCTGTGGAGCCATGTTCAAGGGCTGCCTGTATTGGGCCACAGACACCATGACTGACCTTGGCAGCCTGGACTGGAGTTGCTGAGGCTGGGGCAGTCCTCCTTGGGCCCAGGGGGTTGCTTTTGCATTGCTGTGGGCCCCATCCCTGGTTCCAGATGCCCACTGGGACCTCTGGTCATGGAAGGTTGGGTCACGGGAATCATTTGGGGCATTTGGTGCTGGGCTGGCCTTTGAACAATTTACAGTGTCTCAGCTTCTGAATCTACATTGCCATTTCTACTGTTGTAGATGGGGGCCCTAGCAGGGGCGGCCAAGCAATCGGTACAGAGGTTGGAGTGTCACCAGGGCTGTTTCTGAAAGGGGTGAGCTGGGGTGTCTGCAGGGTTGTTAGCTGTTGTGTGGTTGGCAAGGTTGGAGTGCCAGAGGTGGGGGAGGGCAGGCCCTGTTGCTACTCCACTATATGGGTAAGCTACATGCTGGCCATCCTCCTGCGCACCATCCTAGACCGCTGGCGTTGCAGCCGCTGTTGCCGGAGCTTTTGCTTGATTCTGAAGCAGAACGGCACGGGGCAGTTGTTCTCTTGGCAACGCTTGGCATGGTAGCAGCAGAGGGCAATGAGCTGCCTACAGACAGGGCACCCACCAATTGCCTTTCGCCTGCAGTTCTTGGTATGTTCTACAACTCGCTTCATCTTCTTGCAGGTTGGCATGGAGCAGGTGGAATCGCGGCACTGGCGGGCATGGATCAGGGATTGGATGCTTCGCTGGATCCTTTGGCGGTGAATATCTCGAGGGTTCTGGATGGCTGCACCCTGCTGGTTGCTGCTTTCACCATCTATGCCAGGACCTACTTTCTCCATCTTGTGGTCATGATTTTTAGTGTAATAGCAGGGGACACACAAGACATATTCCTAGGGAAAGAACACAGGCAGAGAAGGTCAACTCTCAAGATTTAATCACTGAAAAGCATTTTAGATACTCTGAGCAAAAAAAAAGTGTTTTTATTGTTTTTGTTTTTTAGAGACAGGGTCTTGCTATGCAGTTGAAGCTGGCCAGGAATTCAGTGATCCTCCTGCTTCAGCCTCCTGAGAGCTGGGGTTACAGGTATGTGCCACCACACCCAGCTAAAAAGCACTTTTTAAAAGATCTGACTATGGGGCCAGGGATTTAGCTCAGTGGTTTTGCCGCCTGCTGCACAAGTGCCAAGGACCCGAGTTCGATACCTGGTACCAAAAAAAAAAAAAAGAGATCTGACTAGACTGTTCTGCTCTGGAACTCAATGACCAGGGCCTCTCCTCCCACCAGCCACCATAATACTCTTCTGGATCACTCATCACATGACTGGGACTCACAGGTCCATTGCCCCCTTCCCATGGCCTGCTGCCTACCTGGCAGACAGTGCAGCGCCAGCGTGTCTCCACTTCCTGCCTGCACTCACTGCAGATGTAGGGGACATTGCGGGTGGTGCTCCTCCGCAATACAGGGGGTGGGCCACTGGGCTCGGAATGAAAAGAGCTCCGGGCACTTGTCCCCGCATCCTGAGCATCATTGAGATCGCAGGGGACCAGAGGGTCTGGATCGGTGCTGGCCGTCATCCTGCGCAGCATCAGGGCTTGTTGGATCCGGAGCTGCAGCTGTGGTTGCTGGAGCTTCTGCTTGATGGTGAAGCAGTAGGGCACAAAGCACCTGTCGTCTTCTGGGCAGTTCCTGGCATGGTACCAGCAGAGAGCAACAAGCTGCTTGCAGACAGCACATCCAGCACTGTTCTTCCGTTTGCAGCCCTTGGTGTGCTGGATGACCCGCTTCATCTTCTTGCAGGAAGGCAGGGAGCAGTTGGCATTGCGGCACTGGCAGGCATGGAGCAGGGATTGGATGTTGCGCTGGATGCTCAGGCAGCAAGATTCTCCTGGGTTCTGGGCAGCCCCAATCTGCTGCTTGCTGCTCTCATCATCCAAGCCAAGACCCAGTTTCTCCATTGGGTGGTCATGGTTCTTAGTGGGATAGCAGGAGACACACAGGATATACTCCTGCAGAAAAACACAGGAGATACAGGCAACTCTTAAAACTTTGTCACTCCAAAGGTTGGATTAGAAAAGTGCCCTCTGGGGCCGGGGATTTAGCTCAGTGGCACCATGCCTGCCTTGCAAGCCCAAGGTCCTGAGTTCAATCCCCAGTACCAAAAAAAAAAAAAAAAACCAGCCCCCCCCGTTTTGGAGACAGGTTCTCTCTATGTAGCCCAGGTGGCCTCAAAGTTGTGAGCTTCCTGCTTCAACCGTGTGCTGGCGGAACAGGCATGTACAACCACACTGGGCTTAGAAATCTTTATACAGAACAAAAATAGCATCTTCAACTCTGCCACTCAACATGAAGCCAGGTTGTCTCACCCCAGTGGCCTGTGTAACTCCTCAGATGATGGAGACCTGCAGGGTCCACCTCCCTCCTTCCCATGACCTGGTACCTACCTGGCAGACTGTACAGCGCCAGTGTGTGTCCACTTGTTCCTTGCACTCAGTGCAGGTGTAGACAAACCGGTAGATGGAGTCATTGGGCTCATCAGCCTGAAGGGAACTCCAGGCACTTGTTTCTTCCGAGGGTGAGGAACTCATCCTGACCACAGATCTGATCACAGCGGATAAGAGGGTCAGGGTCCCTGATGGAGGCAGGGAGTTGGCAGCAGGCCAGCAAAGAGGCGGATCACAATGGAGACCTGTGGAAGAGAGGCTCACTCTCACTCTAGACCACAGTGCTACCAAAGCAGGAAGGAGTGGAGAGGGGCACACAAATGGATCCAGGGTAGCTTACTATATACCCACCCTTTCCTTTCCTGTTCTCTCTCCTGTGTGTGTGTGTGACTGAGGAATGAACCCAAGGCTTTCACGATGAGCTATATCCCCAACCACTTTTTTTCTTATTTTTTTAAATTTTAAGACAGGGTCTTGCAAAATTGCTAAGTTCTCCAGGCTGGGCTCAAACTTGGGATCCTCCTGCTTTAGCCTCCCAGAGTGCTGGTATTACAAGTATGTATCACCACATCTGGTTTAACTCTGTTCTCCTTAAGACTAAGTATAATACAGTTAAAATTCATATCATGTTTCTTTTCACGTCATTGAGTAATTCCCCCGAATGGAGGATATTGTAGTTTAGGTCCAGCACATGTGGACATTTTGATTTGAGCCTACTTTTTAAAGATGTAATCCTTGATTTGACTTGAATCTAAATATAAGAAACCAAGAAAAAAGAAACCAATCAGGGCTGGGGATTTAGCTCAGTGGTTCTACCACCTGCCTCACAAGTGCAAGGTCCTGAGTTCAAGCCCCAGTACCCCACCCCCCAAAAGAAACCAATCAGACAAACCTAAGTAGAGACATTATACAAAACAGTTGCTCTGGACTCATCAAGAAAATGCTCATGCCATTTAAGAAGAGGCCCTGTTCAAAATGGAACAGCAACTCGACATGGGTCATAAACCCTGATTGAAGGAACCTAAGGACCAGATGTTAGATGATGATTCTGGGTTAAGGTCACATTTCCTGGGTTGTAAACCATCATGTGGTTATGCAAAGCATATTTTCTTTCTTAGAAGGTACTTGCTAAAATAGAGATTAAAAAGAAACATGGAAAATTGTAGATTCTTCTGTGCAGCATTCCTAATAGGTTTGCAATTTTACAATAAAGTTAGCGAGGTTGAGAGGGATAAAAGCAATTATCTCCTTAATCCTTGTTGCTACAGCAGTAAGTTTTGTTCCTTAAGTTTGTAGGTTCCCACAAGCCTTAGTATAAAGGGTGTAACAAGAAGCTGGTATTATAGATAACTATAAACTCTTATTGAACAAGTAAAATGAAAAACATCACCTCAAGATATCAGGATTTTAGCTGGGCATGTGGCTCATTGCCTGTAATCTCAGCACTCTAGGAGGCTGAGCCAGAATTCCACATTCGAGCCTAGTCTGGGCAACTTAGTAAGACCCTGTCTCAAAAAGAACAAGGTCCTGAGTTTGATGCCTGGTACAAAAAAAAAAAAAAAAAAAATTAAAAAGAAAAAAAAGGAAGGAGGAGGTGGCAGAGGGGGGAGGAGAAAACGGAGGAAGACAGGGGTGTTGGGGCAGGGATTTCCATCCCTGGTACCAAAAAAAAGGGGATGTAGCTCACAATGCAAAAGCCCTGGGCTCAATTCCCACCAAGCAAACTTCTGTGTGTTCTCCCCCCTCATCCCAATTAGGAGCTTCTATGAAACTGTCATGCGTATGCATCCAACCACTTTGGGGAGACTGAAAAGGTATCTGTGCCTCTTAACAGCAATACTGGCAACTTCAGAGCCAGGCACATTCACTGTTCTGTTACCCTACACCAAAGCCAATGCCTGACTTTATAACCAACCTCCATGGAAGTCAAAGCCATCACAATACATTCTCAGGGCCTTTCCCATTGCTCCAGAAAGCTAGAATTTTGTGGCATTAAATTTTATTTGAAAGAGCTCATACTTATTCAATATTAATATTTATCACCTAATTAGTGAGGCCCCCACTAGAACTCAGGAATCTCCATTTCACTAGCCCAGCTATGGCCATGCCTCTCATATCTCAGGCACTATGTTGACAACAACAGGTTACTAATGCTCAGCCACAGAGGGCTGGGGCAGAGAGGACTATAGGAAAAGATGCACCCTAAGGTTAAGCGCCATGGTAGCAAATTCCCCTCCAGGACAGCCTTTTATGTACTTATTTCTTTCCTAAACAGACTGCTTAACCAATTTAGTTGCAATTCCACAGCTAAAAATCAAGCCTTCATGTCTGTACAGAACTTCTACTTCTTGAAGAACTTAAGATATATTTGAGAACAAAAATGTGGTATTAAAAAAACATTGATACAGGGGCCGGGGATTTAGCTCAGTGGTTTCGCCGCCTGCTGCACAAGCGCAAGGACTGGAGTTGGATCCCCAGTACCAAAAAGATATATATATATATTGATAGGAATTATTCAAATCTCATGGCTTTTATCTCACCAATTATGATGTTGAAGGGGAAAATCCACACTCAGTTATATTTCCAGACTACCTACAACAAATAAACAATGTAAACAGAAAAACAAAGTTCTAACTTAGAAGGGCTTATAAACCTACATATCTGAAAGTTTAATTTTTCAGCATTTCTCTCTACTTTCTAATAATTTGTGAATGGGTGCCAACAGTTTTATTCATTTCTTTTTCCAAAGCACCAGCACAACAGACTATTATAGCCAATGGAGTAGTAAGCAGCTTGGTAAAAAAACAAAATACCAAAGGTATTCAAAGAGTCAGAAAAAGGCTGGAGATTTAGCTCAGTGGTTCTGCTGCCTGCCTCCCAAGTGCAAGGTCCTGAGTTCAATCCCCGGTATCAAAAAAAACCCCCCAAACCAAAAAACAAAACCCCAAAGTCTGAAAAAATGGACAAAGATTACAAAACTAAAAGGATTACAAACTACAAGGATATACTGGTTATAGTTTTAGTTTTTTCCCCACTTTTTGTCCCTCCAGTATAGGCCCTTGCACATGTTAGGCAAGTGCTCTACCACTGAGCCATGTCCCCAGGCCCTTTATTTTCATTTTTTGGAGTCAGAAACTCTCTGATGTCCAGGCTGGCCTTGAGCTTCCCATCCTGCAATCTCAGCCTCCTATGTAATTGGGATTTCAGAGGTATGTCACCACACCCAGCTCTACTGGGATCTCTGACCTGTCACTTTCTTCTATTTCATTCCTAAAAGTATCAATGTGGGATTCTGCATCAGTACTACACAAATAAATCTCTTCACTTCTCTAACCTGTGCCCCTGTGCCATTTCACACCTCATAACTTCTGGAAAGACTTGCCTGCATGTACTATTCTCCATCTGTCTCATCCCACTGTCACTCCTGCGCCAAGTTCACGTACAATTTTTCTGATGGAGCTGTGTATGCCCTTCTCTCAGATAATTTTGGCATAACTGAAGCCTTGAAACAATGTCCTTTCTTAGGTCTCTCTTGGTTTCCACCTACCTCTCTGGCCAATCCTATCTCCTGAGTGGATCCTCTTTCTCCTTATCTCTAAGCATTGTTCTCAGCCCCCTAACACATTCCCCCAGCCCTCTTTTTTCTTTGACCTTAGTGATGGAATTGAAGCCAGAGCCTCTTGCATGAACTATACACTCTCATCCCCTTTCATTCTTGGTGCTGTAAATACCATCTTCGTATCTCAAATTCTCTTTGCCAGCCTGTGTTCTTCATCTGAGCTCCAGACTCAAGTATCCATGTGTCTGGATGACAATTTCACATTGCACCCTAAACCCCCAAGCAGAACACTTCATTCCCTTTCCCAAACCTATTTTTTTGTTAGTTTCCTCATTTAGTGCATGGCACTACCAAATACTCAGGAACTACCTGTTGATTTCTTCCTCTCCATCCCTCACTGTTCAATCCATCATGGAATACCTTTACCTCTCTAAACTCAGTTTTAGATATTTCCACTTCTTTATCTCTACTGCTACCCTTTAAATCCAGGCCATCACCTGCCCAAATCTGGATCCCCCAAAGCCTTCTACTTGCTAGACTCTCCTCTTACCCTATCCTGGTAATTCTCTACCTACTGGTCTTTTTTTTTGGTACCGGAGATCAAACTGAGAACCTTGCGCTTGCGAGGCAGGTGTGGAGCCACTGGGCTAAATCCCCAGCCCTACCTACTGGTCTTTTTAAGGATATAAATTAGGAAAATAAGAACCAAGATAAATTATGTAAAGGTACAAATTTCCAACGATGAATGTCATTATATTGTATACCTAAAATGTACCAATAAAATTTAAAAATGTAAATTAGGTCCAACATGGTGTCATCGGTCTGTAATCACAGCACTCTGGGTGGCTGAGGCAGAAGGGTTGCAAGTTCCAGCCTAGCTGAGCAAATGAGGCAGTCTGTCTCAAAAAAGTAGAAAGGGCTGGGGATGGAGCTCAATGTGAAGGCCCTGAGTTTAATCCTCGGGAAGAAAACAAAACAAAACAAAAACACTCAATACTATTATGTTCAAACAAATATAAAAATAAAATTTAAAATGTAAACAAAAAGGGCCTGGGTGTAGCTCGGTGGTACAACGTTTGCCTATCACCCATTTTCATGTCGCCTTCCCCCATTATTGTATAAGACCCCGGGGACCGGGGTGGGTGACCCAGCTGAGGCTGGAGCTCCGGCTGGGCCAGGGTGGGCCTTCTCCTCCAAATAATTCACCGCGTGCGCACTGTGCTCCGGGCACTGGGTCCCCCAGGGACCTCGAGGTCGATTCCGACGTCACCCCAGGGCCGGGGACCGGCGCTTTCCAGCGGCGATCAGGGCGGGCTGGGTGCTGCCGGCCTCCGCCTGCGCCCCGGGGCCTCGGTGGCCTCCTCAACGAGAGGTGAGGCGGGACTCGGGCTCTGTGTCCCCGGGTTCGCTGGCGGGAAGGGAAAAGCGGAGAGAACAGGAGAGGTGAGGAGAGGAGGGGAGCAGAGTGGAGGAGTGGAGGGGAGGAGGGCTGAGGAGAGGAGGCACCGCCCCCCGCCGCCCCCCTTTCCCCTCCGCCCGGCCGCGAGTCTCCAGCGCCACCGTCGCCCCCGGGCTGATGAGGCACCGGAACCGCGGACAACGAGCTGGGGGCCGAAGGGGCCTCTCCTGGTCTCGATCACGCCGAGCGCAGTGGGCACCGGACGGGAATGATGCGATCCCTCGAAGCCCCGGGGGTTGCAGGCAAACAGGAAAGGGGTGGCAGGGAACTGGGCTGCCAGAGCCACTGCCACGACTGAGGACCTGGCGTGCCGAGGCGCACCTGATATGGATAACTTAAGGCAGGAGAGGTTTATGTTGACTCACGGTTTCACTTCGTGATCCGCTGACTGGAAAGCAAACAATATGGCGAGCAGAGCAGCTCCAAGCCCGGGCAGACAGGAAGCCGCTCGAGGAGGAAGAGGCAGAGGCCACACCCCCTCCAAGCCCCACCCCAATGACCTACTTCCGCCAACGGCCCCGCCTTCCCCCCCCGAACCGAAAGCTGTGAGATCAGTGCTCTTGCTGTTCGTCACCTTTCAAAACCCAACCTCTCAACACATGAAATTTGGGGGACATTTTTTATTCAGACTCTTGCACTGTCCTTGTTCCTAAAATGGCAGCCGAGGCAGCCAGGGGAGAAGTGTCAGTCCTAGTGTGTAATAACTAAATGGCAGAGCTAGGATAGGAACGCAGGATGTTTCTTAGCCCACCACTGCCTTGGGCTGAGGGAAATGGGTACTTGAACGAGGCTTGGAAATTTCGGTAACATTTAATGAGTGGAGATAACTGTAAAGGTCTTGGCTTTAATTAGCTGTTAAGACTTAGAGACGGGGTTTGATGCTGAGAGGTTACAATTTTCTCCTCCGTGAAAGTGGCTGGAGTGATGAAAACTAATAAATCACATAAGCAGTGCTTTGCAACTTGTAAAGCACTTTCAAGTTTGGTGTCACTGTTAATTCCACAATAAACTCACCAAGTGTATTGCTTAGGGTTTTCCAGAGAACAGAATCTATAGAAAAAATACAGAATTATGCCAGGGAATTTGATCAGAGGCAGGATAACCCACAATGACTGCCTGCACCTACATACCCAGAGGAACCAGGAGCTATGCAGTCCAAAAAGTTGAAAGCCACAGAACAAGAGTGATGAAGGATGCATCACCAGTCTGAGACTGAGGTTTGGAAGCTCTGTGGAGAGTCACACGTTGAATCCACATTGATAGGCCGTGAAACTGGAGTCTGATGTCCAGAGGTGGTGGTGGTGGTGGTGGTGGTGGTGGTGGTAGCGGTGGTGGTGGTGGTGGTGGTGGTGGTAGCGGTGGTGGTGGTGGTGGTGGTGGTAGCGGTGGTAGCAAAAGACACACCTGTGAAGCAGAATGGTGCTTTTCCTACACAGGCTGCTGGCCAGCTTCTTTCTTTCTTTCTTCCTTCCTTTCTTTCTTCCTTCCTTCCTTTCCTTCTTTCCTTCTTTCTTTCTTTCTTTCTTTCTTTCTTTCTTTCTTTCTTTCTTTCTTTCTTTCTTTCTTTCTTTCTCTTCCCTGTCTTTCCATCTAGAATGCAAGCCTATTGGATGGTGTCTCCCACAGTCAGGTGGAGGCTTCTCCCCTCAGTTTGCTGGCCTTTATGCCAATCATCTCTGGCAATACCCATAGATACACCCAGAGTGTTCTTTAATAATTTGCTAGGTATATCTTAATCCAGTTAAGTTGACAATCACCATTAAAGGTCACAGTCAATCTCTTCCAGCCAAAATATATGACCAGGTGCACTGGTTGAAGTCTGGGCACTGTGAAAATATCTGTTCACCACTGTCTAAGGGTTGTCCCAGAGAGATGCTATAGAGCTGCAGCTGTTCACTTTCAGAAGGTGCCCATGTAACATGTGGACCATATGTACATCAGGCCCTAGTCTTTTCCTATCTCAAGTGATCATAGGACATGCCTCAAGAAGCCATTGGTGCTTCTTGGGGGACAGAAGGCAGAATAGCAGGAAGAGGAACCATGGGGATATAAGCCACTTCTTCACCCACCTGACTGGAGCCTTCAGGACTTGCTGTGGTCTCATCATGTGTACACCACTTCTTCCAGATGATAGATTGTTGCTGTGCGTGTTTGGCCTTTAGGCTTGGAGTGTTGAATAGGATATGATGGGCAGCCCGGGTCATATGGTAACTGGGAGCTCCATGGTCAAGCATTCAGTTCCCATTAAGGCCCAGCAGCAGGACAGGAAGGAGCTATTTCTCCAAGGGAGAGTTGTTGACTGCAGAGCCTTGCTCCCAAATCCTAAGGGCATCTAATGGGGTTCTCCTGTGGGGCCCTGACAGAGGCTCCAAAGAACACTCTTATCTGCCACTGACACCTCAAGTACCATTAGATCTGCTGGACCATATGGCCTAGTGGCAGAGCAGCCTGCACAGCAGCCTGGACCTGTTGCAGAGCCTTCTCTTGCTCTGGGCTTCACTCCAACTATCAGCATTCTGTCTTACTAGGTAAAGGGGGCAGAAAGAAAGTGAGGAAGGTGTTGCCTCCTAAATCAAGTAGGCCGACTAGACCTTGTGCCTCTTTCTTGGTTGTAGGAGGGGCTGGATGCAGCTAATTATTCTTCACCTTAATGGGATACCCTTGCATTTCTGCACGGGACTCCTAGACATTTCACTAAGGTAGAGGCCTCTTGAAATTTAGTTGGATTTATTTCCCATCGTTTGGCACACAAATGTTTTACCAAGTCCAGAGTGGTTGCTCCTAGTTTAAGACACAATGCTTTGCTGAATCTGCCCCTCTCCAACAACGACTGTTTCCTAGCAACACCCATCACCATGGCACCAAAATGTTAATTATTATTTTTTTAAAATGTTTCTTCCTGGCTTGAGCTGGACCAATTGTGAGGAGTCCTGTAGACAGGGTCAAATCTGAGAAGTGGTTGGATGGGGTTAATTACATTCTGAAAATGTCAGCTGGATGCTCTGGGTTTTCTAATTGACATTATTTTGAGGGTATAGGTTATATATAGTAATTTTTATAGTAATTATTGACGAGTCTACCTCTTAGCAAGTTACTGGAAGGAACAGGAAAAATGTAAGTAGGGATTTTGAAGTCTCAGTTAAAGGAATGGAGAGATTGTGTGTTTCCAGAACAATGGTGGTTGCTATAGTGACATCATTTCTGGGTAGATAAAGCTGGCTGGCAGGTGCTCATCAATGCCCACTCGGAGGAATGTATTTACTGGCACATGCAGAGAGGTCTGCACAAATGGCGCTCCCCCAATTTAAATACGGCCACTACCCTGAGAAAGGACACTTTTTTCAGCCCTTGGGACTGAAGGAGAAGAGGAGCCGACTGTTGTTCTGATGGCTGATGTGCACAGCGACTGAGCGAGATGTTTTCATTTTCCTTGTTTATCTCACAGTGAATTTAGGAGTTCTTATCCTTTGAAAGGAGGAGGCTGAAGCTCAGGAAAGGGAAGCAAACCAGCTCTGTAGGAGCCAAGGAAACTTAGGCTTTTCATTGTCCCTCTCTTCACATTATTGATCCAGTTCAGAGTTAACAAATATTTAATCAGTATCTGCTCTTGCCCCAGAGCTTTATTTTCTTTCAGTTTTTTTAAAACTTATTTTTGTTCTTTTGAAACAGGATCTTGCTATGTTGCCCAGGGTACCAGTTTAGCCCTGAGGACTTGGGCTCACTTCATCATCCTGCCTCAGCCTTCCCTGCAGCTTTGACTATAGGCTGTGCCACTGTATCTGCTTCTGAGTTTTTTGATTATTTTTTTATTTAACTTTTTTTGTTAGTATATATTTTGATACATAATACAAGCATTCATCTTGGGGAGTTGGTACATACACATCTTGTATCATAATCCTTTTCACTTCCCTTTCTGAATTTTTTTTTGTAATATGCATAGCAACTTATCCTTCCTTTTATTCTCTTGGGCTAATGAGTCACTTTGAAATCAATTAGCTAGCATTAAAAAAAAGAAAGTACTCAGTGCCTCATAGGGAATAGGGACATAAACATTTATAAATCTGTGGCAATGTCAGATGTGGTGCTGTGAGCGTGCCAAGCACTGCCACCCCTTATTACTGTCCTGTTGTCTGAAAAAGAGGTGTGAAAATGAAAATGGAGGCCATATTTGACAAACTCAATTTGGAGGGCCTGTTCTTCCCCTGATGAAAATTAAATCTAAAATTGCCACTGGGATTGTATGGTACCCAATTGAATGGGACACAATCTTGAGCAGTTGATTCCTTGGAGATCTGGAAAAAGGCATGTATTTCCACTGTCACCTGTGTCACCAACACAGAACTGGCAGTTCCAGTTAGTGCCATAAAGCAAGAGAAAGAGATAAAAGGAATACTGATTGGAAGGGCCCGGGATTTAGCTCAGTGGTGCCTCTGCCTGCTTCACAAGTGCAAGGTCCCAAGTTCGATCCCTGGTACCAGGAAAGAAAAAACAAAACACATAACTCTTCAGGGCCAGGGATTTAGCTCAGTGGTTCTGCTGCCTGCCTCGCAAGTGCAAGGATCCGAGTTCGATCCCTGGTACCAAAAAAAAAAAAGAAAAGATAAAAAAAGGAATACTGATTGGAAAGGAAGAAATGAAAGTGATTTCTTTTAGCAGATGACGTGATGGTCTATGTAGAAAATGTTGTGAAATCAATACTATCACCACCGAAAACAGCCCTCACTTTCTGGCTCTCACACTAGTTTTCAATAAGCCTGCAGTACAGATGATAAACATACAAAACTCAATTAAATTTCTATATAGTACCAATGAGAGTAAAATACGAAAGGTAGGAAAAAATTGAAACTAGTAATTAAAATAAAGACACTATCTGCAATTCACTATAAGACAGAAAAAAGAAAGGTAGGAAGGAAGGAAGAAGGAAAGGGTGAAAGACCTCAAGCTTCCACTCTGACACAAAATTGAACTCAAAATGAATCATAGATTTAAATGTAAAAATGAAACTTAAAACTTATTTATTTATTTTTGTACCAGAGATTGAACTCGGGACCTTGCGCTTGGGAGGCAGGCGGTGGCATCACTGAGGCACCACTGAGCTAAATCCCCAGCCCAAAACTGAAAACTTTAGATGGTAAGTACAAGAAAATCTCTAGGACCTGGAGCTTAGTTGAGAGTTCTTATACATAATACATGAAGCACATTTCATGAAAGAAAAAATACTAATATATTATTGGATGTCATCACATAAAAAAATTTGCCCATTGGGGCCAGGGATTTAGCTCAGTGGTTTCACCGCCTGCTGTGCAAGCACAAGGATTGGAGTTCAATCCCCGGTACCAAAAAAAAAAATTTGCCCATCACTTCTTGGGCTTTTGGCTAAGATCAAGTATAAAAGATTTCCCCTACAGGGCTGGGGATTTAGCTCAGTGGTTTCACTGCCTGCTGCGCAAGTGCAAGGACCCAAGTTCGATCCCCGGCACCAAAAAAAAATAAAAA